TGAGTTTTAAATTAATATTATTTCATAGCTGAAATAATGAAACTATGTTGGATGGATCCCAACCGCTGTAGTATTCGCTCAATCTTGTTGTTTCTTCTTGTTTTTACATGAAACCAAACGAACTTTTCGCGGCTAGCATTTATTCTCTCATCGAAAAAATTGCTTCGCTCGAGAAAGTTTTTTGTTTTTTCTTGTATTGGGAACAAGCTGAAAAACTTGTCCATTGTTGTCGCATTTCGGGGAATAGTCAAACAGGAATTTTGCTCGAAAAGTAAATTTATCTTATTTTTTCTCTTTGTGAGTTGAATCGTTTTGTCGTACGAGTTCTTAACTTTCTTACCGTTGGACGCCGCATCGTTCCATCCTGTGAAACTAAGAAATAACAGAAGAAGAACGAGATACTCAGACTTCATGTTTTTTCGTAGCTGTTGGTTTTAATTACCCTGCGCCTTGATCGGTCAGTGGAACGATTATCTTAATATATTGTGCGAATTGTTTTAGCATTTTATTACGAAAACGGGCGTACATAATTGTTTCACAGCTTTTCAGCCATTATTGATCATAGCGGCTTTTGCATGAAAAGTTTTAATTTCCGTTCAACTTCCTTTCTAACATTATTCTGGTTCAATGAAATGATTGCAAGCGCGAATGAAAAAAACTATCAACGCCTTTGGCTTGGAACTTTAATTGTTTTCGAGTTACTGAGGACTTTTCAGGTTGGTGTATTTACTGTATATCCTTTTCCTATTGTTTGACGGAAATGACTTGGGAATATTCGTAAGTGCTTTTTGTAAGGATTGTAAGGCGCTGAAATACCCGCATCTTCATAGGAAGACGTGAGGCTTCCCATCTTAATCACTTTCATTTTCGCGCTCATTAGTACCTTCTTTTACTCTCCATAGAGAACCTTTTTGGTCTTCAGACTCGCAGGTCTAAAATTTTAAACGCTACGGAGTAATTTTCAGAATAAGGCATGTCTGTCTGATTCGTCACATTTTATTCTCGCCGGGATCATCGTCCAGAGCGCATGCGAAACAAGAGCTGTGGGGGATTTAACAAAGGCGAATTTTTCTGGTCCGCATTTCGCGCTCATTCTTATACAATAATTCCGCGCATCCTCAGTTGACCGAAACGCAACAGACAAAAATGGAAATAGCAGTTTAGACAGACTGTTTGATTTTAATTCTTTTAATTTCGTTTCCTCCAAAGCTGTCTCACAGTTCATGATCCGTTTCTCTGGTTTGCAAGGGATGAGTGATAATCGTTGAAAACGAAAGAAAAATACTTGTGAATGGTTGAACGTTAAGATAAGTAAGGTGAAAGTGCCTCGTCCGGTTTGTTCGTGTGGCTTGGTCTTACTAAATCGTTCGCTTTTTAAAAAGTTGAAATATAAAGTGTCGTGGACTGGTTAGGAAATTTGCGGATAGATAGCCGATTATTGTGTTGTGGTTTAGCTGTTGTCGAGCAAAAATATATCCTCTTCGATTAAACTGAACATCTTATCAGGAGCGTTGCTTCCTGTGAGAAATTTTAGGAAGGCTTTAAGCCGAAACTAGAAAATCATTTTTTGTTCTAAAAGAGTCCTCTTCTGAAGAAATTTGGTGGTCTATTGATCATCTAAAACAAGACTTCCTTAAATTACAGACCCCGTAATGTTAAGTTCTTTTACAGATTCCTCGAAATTATAGTCTAGGATGATGCCCGCTTCATTGCTACACGAACAACAAACTATATTTGCACTCTTGTGCCCAACATCTATGTTATTACATGAACTTAAAATGAAATGATAACACTTGATGACTGGAATAACCAAAGGGGATAGCGGAGCTAAGCAACAACCAAAATTTTAGCCAGCTTTAAATTTCATTAAATTCTAGTTTTAGCACATTTTGGCTACCTTTTTTTTAGAAATGAATCTTTGGATTCTTGATTTGTTGCGAATGTTTACATTGCCCTTTATTCGATTCTATTTTCTTATCCGGTGCGGCCCAGCCGTTCCGGTTGCATCGCCTCTGACAGCCTTCTTGTAGGCTTGTCTTCATTATACACCGTTTGTTTTGCTTTGTCACCAGTGGAGCTGAATACCTCGCACTTAAGCTAACTATATTGACTTGTCAGACCGATGCTATTCTATTTGGATTATCTTCTCTCAGTCGGTAGGTTATTTCTTATTTCCGCCTGATTTCCTCTATGTTAGATGCTCTATCGGCGGTTTCTAGTCGGAGAGTCGATCAATTTTTTTATCATAGTCGTGCGAAAAGCTCGACTATCCATTATGCAGATTGTTTGAAATCATTTAGAAGCACTTTCTTTTCGAAAAATTAAAAATTGCCAGTTAAACTCAATGTGTTGTGGATGAAGAGGTTTAATGTTTTAGACAAGCCTCCTTGCTAAAGACTTGGCGGATACCTTCAATAAATACTTTTATTTCTACCGCTATTGCGCCTGTAAAATGAAAGTGCAGATTTATTTTCTTTCGATCACCTTTTAACTCGGAGACTCGGGTACTTTTCTGAGGCCATCTTTCTGAGTGCTGTGGTCTTCTGAGCCTGTGACAGCGAGATTACAAACTGTTTATATTCTCTTGATAATAGAGATAAAGAGGAAGCCTAACCTGCTGACCAGCAAAGTACCTTGTTTTTAAAAGTAAATTGTTAGTTGAAACAATAAATTGTGGTCAAACACACGAACCAAAGCCTCGAATCAAAGTAGAGGAAAAAATGATTCCTAGTCTACAAATTATTTTTTGGCGGTCATCAAGCAATGCGAGAGTACATTTAAATAGGAAACTTCTTCGTGGTTTTGTTCGTCCCATTCCCCGTTTTTTCCTTCACCGTGGGTTTTTTGTTGGATGAGTTCTCCGGGTGCATCAACCAGAATAAGTTTCTTTCAGTAACAAAGTAATTAAAGGGTGCCCATCAGGTAGCTCATATGCACATGTTATGTACATGTTTTTTTAATTCTTTCTCCGGCTGATCCTTGAAAGAGAGGATCAGCCGCAGGACAATCTCCAGAAATCCTGGTAATGTTCTAATAGACGAGAATTGACCTTATTTTCTGCTCTTCCTGTTTTCGTTCTCAGCCGTGAGAAGTGCCTTAACCAAAGGCAAGTACTTAACTTTCGGTTTTTCTTTTCGTATTTCGGTTTTCTTCCCCTTCTCAGAAAGTTTGAACGTTACTGTTTGTGAGCGATACGAATTTTTCAGTGTTTTTAACTGCCATAATCCGCTTAACTTTCGGTTTTTCTTTTCGTATTTCGGTTTTCTTCCCCTTCTCAGAAAGTTTGAACGTTACTGTTTGTAAGCGATACGAATTTTTCAGTGTTTTTAACTGCCATAATCCGCGAAAATTTGGACAAACGACCTTGGATTAAGAATGGTTAACGCTTTACCATTCATTTATCAACCTGACAGAGTGGCATTACAGGCGAGTAACGTGTCAGCAGCTGAATATCAAAAACGTAAAAAATTATCATATTTTTACGCGTGTGCTGTTACGGCTTTTTTCGGGGCTGGAAATTCTTATAAATCATCTTAGTTTATATGATAATGGTTCTTATTTTATTAAGAGATTAATTGCAGTACACATCTTATGTTATAAAAATACTTGTGTAAAAGATACCAAAGTGAAAAGCGAAAATGCACCATGAGTAATCTGCTTAAATGCATAGGCCTTATACAGTTAAACTTAAAAACTAAGCACCCTCTAATATTAAGCCACTTTTTAAAACCAAGGTACTAATCTTAATCAATCAACTAGTATTTTTCCTGGGGTTATTGCTGGGTAATTTAAAAGCTTTTAAAATTGTGGCACATTTGTTTTCAGGGGATGAGAAATAGAATGGGAAGCTACTATGTACATTTACATGCTTAGAGGTAAATTTTCCTTTAGAGAAACTCGACAAAGTACAAAGCCTCAAGGATGGACTCAGATGCATCTTAAAATATGGTATGACAAAGTACTATGTTAAGAAAGACTGGTGTATTTGGAGCTTAAGTTCGTTAACAAAAAAAAAGAAAAAAGAAAAATGAAAAAAGTAGTGCAGACTGAATAAACCAATCATTACATGTTCTCTCCGTGTGGTATCGAAAAATAAATAAATAAATAACAAAATAGATAAATATGAAAATAAATATTATGACAACAGTTCCCATCTTTTCCTAAAGTCTTGAAGTTTCTTATTTCTTGAGATAATGAGCCTTTCAGTCTCCCGCTTAGCTTCTACTTTGTGTAGAATATATAGTTTACCCAGAATTATCAGATAGTTTAATATATCTTTTTTATTTAAAATGCCAACTATAACATCTTGGAGAAATAAGCTTAGATTTTCACTCAGAAGATTCGACCACCAATTGCAAAAGCTCTTCCAAAAGGCGTGCACATAGGAGCAGTCATGAAGGAGATGGTATAAGTCTAAGTATAAGAAAAACTTCTCTGACTAAATTTACCCAATTTTGAATCATTTGATATTTGTTAACATAATTTTATTCAATAATTTATGTTGAAAACACCAGATATAAGTTTCACGAGCTACGTTGAATGTGTCAACACTCCTTGCAACGTGTTTGAAAGCTCCAAATCAGCTCATAGAGTAAGGAACCTTTTCGGATGTTAAGCTTTGTTGGTAATCAGCAGTGAATAAAACTCTTTTGACTTAGCTGAGTAGGTTTTGAACTCTGTATTATTGTATTTAAAAATCATAGAGTCAAATTTCACTGGTGGGAAAGACGAAACCTTAGGCACAGACAACCGCAAGGAGGACTATGAGATTCGAGCCCTTTATTCTTAAGGCATTCAGGAGAGCGTACATAATCCAAATTAAATAATAGATAGTTTATAAATAAGAAATTCCACAATCTGCATATTTTTTTATATAAAATAGGTTTGTTACCGTTTCTTAAGTCTTTATTATTCCAAATTACATAATGGACATAATTGACATCAGAAAAAGCATTTCTAAAATCCGCCCACCAAATAAGTAACTCCTGATAAAAACCGTTTTAATATAAATTAAGATCCTTTACATCATAATTACATTTCAAGAGCAAGGTCCCTCCTTTTTTTTCAAATAAAATGCAAAATATGATTCACATGAACCAACGCGCTCATCAAGAGCCTGTGGAATCCAGGACAGCCTCAAGGCTTTAATTTGGGTTTCAAGATCCGTAAGATTCAAGCCACCGTTCTGAAGCGAGTTAATAACAGAGAGTCTTGTCGCTTTATCTGGTCCTTGCTACAAAAAATTAAATATCATCCTCTCCATCTGTTTCATAGTTTCTTCTAGAGTTTCCAATATTATAGAAACATATAACAGCTTTGGTACAAGGAACGTTTTTATGACAGTCACTTTGCCAAACGAGGATAAACCCTCAAACTCCATACGTTGATCGTCTCTTGGATTTCCCTCAATCTTTCATGAAAGTCGTGTTTTATGATTTGTCCTTGATCACACGAGAAGTGAGGTCCTGACGTTTTTACTCCGGTGCACCACTCAGGGCCCAGTGGTCTCTCTAATGAGTTCTTACTTGCCCCAATCCACAACGCTTTAGATTTTAGGATATTCGTTTTCAAACCAGAGCAAGTTGTTCAGTATTTGCAAGAAGATTTCTACAAAAGATATGTTCGCCAAAATTGCAGTCATATCATCAGCATATAGGAGTGTTTTGATTTCGTCATTATCGATTTTTATGCCTTCAATATGTTCGTTTGTCTTAAAAGATATAGCCAGTATTTCAATTGCCACAACAAATAAATAGGGTGACAGAGGGTCTCCCTGCCTTACACCTCTTTCTAGTTTGAAGGGCTCGGAAAATGATCCATTGTTTATAACACAGCTCGAGACATTATTATAGATGGTTTCAATCCATCTCATCAGGATTGTTTTTTTTTCCTTTTAATGACCATCAGTATTGGTGTTTTGTACATTTTTTCGCTTTTCTTCAATTCGTTCTTCTGTTATGTGACTTCCCTCAAACGGCTTTGTTAAATCTTTCTTTGGATGGGGGGCTATGTCTATCGATATTTTACCTTCCTCTCCTTTCTTTTCTTTTGTTTATTTGTTGTTATTGCAGCTTGTTAAGTAGTTACCCCGTTGTGACGGTTAATAACTTAGTGACGCGATCGAAGGGTGATTCCTCCACCCCGCTCATCCAATGACACTTAGGTTTGTTTGTAAGGCTACCAATACTTGATTGAAGTTCCTTTGTTCCTCCAGTCCCTTTCATTTGAATTTGCAAGTTCTTTTGATCGCCGCCTGTAAATTTTTTAGCAAAGGTTGTACTATGGGTTCTGTCAGCGCCGAAAAAAAAGGCCTGGTCATTTGTCAAAGTCATTTGTGATCACCTGGTTACTAATTGTTATCGCGCATTTGCAACTTTCTTAACGCAAAAGCCGTGAAGCAGTATTGATCCGTATTTACACTTTGCTCGTGGAAAGGCCTTATTTGAAAAGTTAAGTTAGCCTTACTTTATTTTTGAAGATTTCGCTCACCCGTTGAGCAATGCCAACTAGCCCTTACACTGCAACCTGCTGTCATATTGTCGAAACGTAGCTTCTAGGTATTTGAGTATCGCCATTTTACTGAATGTCAAATTTGCTCCTTCTCTCTGGAAATTCCGACACTTTTATGGAGCGTTCATACTTGAGAGGCCCACCACGCTTCGTTGTTATGCGTTAAACACCCATTTCCCGCTTTATTCTCTGGAAGCTAGACACTTTTTGTTGGCTGTTTTCGGTCGGAGAGTGAATCAGCTCTTTTAACTCGATAGCGCGGAAAGCTTGACCATCCATTAAGCAGTATGTTTGAAATAATTTTCGCGCTTGTTCCTTTCATAAAAGTACATTAAGCGGTGAAGCCTGAGTGAAACACATAAATAAAACTGTTATGATCTTTGCAAGCCCCATTGACTAAAGACTGAATCAACTGACGATTATATGTTAGCTGTTTTTTTTTTTTTTTTTTAACGCTGTCATAGCTTGTCATGCTGAGGAAAGATAAGATTTATTACTAAATTTTTTTCGCTCTGTTTACTTCGTTTTCACCGTCACGTCATATTTCGCCGGAAAATGGCTTTCTACTGTGCTATGTTGTAGGAAATTGATACTAAGCCAAATACGTAACCATTTTAACTGTTAGCCGAATCATTAAATGCTAAATGACAATATCATTATGATAAATCAATATTTTTTTTCAACTAAATTTCTCGGAAATACAAGCCATTTCAGCGAATTGAGGTGATCGTGACGTCGAGAAAGGGTAATCCCCTTTCGGAGGGACTTTTCCCTTCTCTACTGCGCTTCTGATTGGTTATGGCTGGATTGCTTCCGTATCTTAAGAAGAAAACGCAGTTTTGTCCTTCGTTCGTGAGTTATTTTGAGCGCCTGGTAGCTTTGTTAACAAGCGAACAAGAAAATGGATGAAAGGTTGCTGTATGACAACGTTTTTCCCGAGCCAGTGGATATCAGCGATACACCATGGTCAATGGACAACTTACTGTTTGAAGAAGACATCAAGAGCGACTCAGATGACGACATAACAGACCTGTTTAATGGAGGGAAGATTGAAGATGTAGTCTCAACGACTGGAACCCAGAGAAAAATCAAAGATCTCTCCGACGAAGAAATTAAGAATCTTCGAGTTCAGGATTTAAACAAGCTTCTTCGAGGAATACCTAGAGAAGAAGCTGTTAAAATAAGGCGCAAGCGACGTAACCTTAAGAATCGAGGCTACGCTTTGACTTGCCGTAGACGTCGGCAACAGTTTCAGGAGGACCTTTTCAACGAAAATCAGTTGTTGAAGAAGCAGTTGGAAGACGGCAGAGAGACGCTTTGCAAAGTATTAAAAGAGAAAAGTGAATACAAGAAAAAGTTTCTGCAGCTACAGTCAGATTGCAAAAAGGAATTAATGATGGAACATTTTGTTCTCCCAAACTTCCTTCTAGAATCAGGGAATCTGGCATAAATCAAAAGTCTGCACGGCTTGGAGATCAACAGATGTATCACAGAGTCCAATGTAAACGAAAAAAACTGTTGATACTGAACGGGGCTTGCAGAGAGCGCAAACACCTCTGTTAAACCCGGAATTCCGGTTTGATCGTTCTACGCGACTATTGTAAAATAACAAAACTACTTAATCCAGTTGTAGGGAATTTTGTTGCTTACAAGTACGTTAGTTCATTTAAACGAAGGTGTTCTTGTTTTCCTGATGAACCCTTTTTTTCCCTGAGGTGTTCTGTGTTGGTGGTAAAAGCTTGATATTACGCTTACTTTAGACATTATGGATTAGGATCATTAATATAAATAAAAATGAGACGAGTCGCTCGACTTCTTACTTATATTATGCTGTTATTGCAGCGCAAAAATATACTTGTGAGACTTTTTTCGATAGCTTTTCGCATGCTTGAGTGTAGCGCTGTAACCACAATTTTATGTCTTGTGGAAAGCATCGAAAGCGGAAGTGATGCACCTATTCGAAACTGAAACCAGACAAGATATCAACAACTTCTGCCTGAGGGTTTGTTTTTCTTTCCTCAAGACGCTGGTCATACACCATGACAAAAGTGGACTTAAACACATGGCACATGTAGTTATGGGGTACGTTTACTGCAGGTTTGTTATCTATAATTCAGATGTAATTGATAATCCCTCAGAGCTGTGAAAATAAAAATACTTAAAACAACAGATGGTTTTCTATAACATTCTTACTGTCTGGTTGGATTGATCAATCGAAATTTGAAGTTATGTTCATTGTACAAAAGCTATTTTTTTTGAAAACTCAAATATTTCACTTTAAAACTTTTCCGGCAAAAATGCTCGCACGTTTGTGCCCTCGAGGGAGAATGGAGATAGTGGAGTGCAATAGATGCTATTTCTTGTTCCAACAAATATTCTAGCAATTAAAGAATGAAGAATTATTCATTTATTTTTGGTTCGAAAGGTACATTTTTCCTCGTGTAACGGAGTAATATGATGTCGTACCCATCTGATTTCTCTTAACTTTCGATAACTAGTTTACGCTCTAATATACATTTACCTTAAGCACTTTAAGGTAAAGACAAATATTTTCAACGAGAATCAGAGTAATAACACAGAGGACTAATTTGCCTTTGTAGTAACGTCTGCTTTTGTCATCGTCTTGAAATAAGCGGCCTTTACGGCCATATGCTTCACATCAAGAAAAATTGTCACGCATTTGTGGGAGAAGTACCCTTTAGCAGCGGTTAAACATGCTACAGATGTGGCAACGCTCATAGTTATTATCGAGTGATGGTGCAGGCTTCCAAATCAGTCAATCAATCAATCAATTACGAGAAGCATTGAGGGAGGGGGTTTCCCTTGTATTGTTCAATCGCTAAGCTTGACCTGAGTGATGCCGGCTGAAAGCTTTCGCTTTCAAAACACATCCCGGAAGTTCGGAGTTCTAATGTGCTACTGTATATCTGTTTGAGAGAAATTCAGTTCTCGGTCGAGATTATTATCGCCAGCCTACGTACCTTACTAACCTGAGTACGAGGTCAAGCTGAGTCTAAGTTGTGTCTGGAATAGAATGGAAGACCTTCAACGTACAGATATGCAAAATTCCGATTCAAGTTTGTCATGCGGAGCCACAGGAAGGAAAATGGTTGTTTCGAAGCCCACTGTCAAGAAGAGGAACGAGGAAGCAGGATCCCTTCGAACTTTGAGTGATAAGGAACTTGAAAAGATGACAACCAAGCAGCTAAATGAATACACTCGACACATTCCTTCGCAACAGGCCCAGAAGCTCAAGAAAAGGAGAAGAATTCTTAAAAACCGCAGATACGCTTTGAAGTGTAGACTGAAGAGCATTCAAAAGAAAAAAACCACGATAGAAGAAAATCAGTCGCTAGAAAATGAGCTGTCTGCAACGAGAAGAGATCTTAAAGTGATTCTCAAGGAAAGAGATTACTACCGATCCAAATGTGTTCAACTCTACAGTGATGTCTTCGAGAGGTTTTATCCAAGCAATTCGACAAAATCCGGCAAATTTTCTCCTTGAAGAATGTACCCCTACTCAAACTGAGTGGGATTTACTTGATGATAGAGTTTTCAGGAGTGTATCCTATGAGTTGCAGTTGACTTGAGATTTTTGCGCCGACACTATTGCGTTTACTTCATGCAAACAATAGGTCTTTGAAGTGTCTGATTCTGGTGCTTTATGGTTTTGTCGACTATTTCGTTGGTCATGTCGAGTAATTCTCTGGTACTCTAATGAAAAAAACGCATCGCATCAGTTTTTACCTATAGCTAATGGATGGTCTAGAATAGGGAAATAAGGAAAGGTTAAGTATGTTAAATATATTTTAGGCGCTTACTTAATATTCATATATCTATTTTCTTGACCCACCATCGAACTGAAACTTTTCACTTGACCCTAGTTCACGCTTGCGTCAATAGAGCGTTCCTTTGCTAATCTACGCGTGACCAGTCTGCATTGTTTCGTCACGCATCGAATCGTTGTGAAATATTCGGGCATGGGTGCTTGTGTCAGAAATTGTACCGGTAGGTGCCTGTTATAGTATGGCCCTCTTTGAAACTTTGCCACCTCATTGGCAATGCAATGAGCGAAAGGGGACCGATGGTGATATATCAATAAAGTGCTAGTAAATATTTTTGGAGCACTTTTTCTTGTATTTTGTGTTACATGATGTGCTCGAAGGTACCAATCTCATCATGTTGGCCCTATTTAAGTATAACAATGTAAGCTCAGAGGGTAATTGTAAGTTGAGGAATGCTGCTTTCTCACGCTACAACAACCATTTTCAACTCTTTTTCTTGGGGAACACCTTGTCTTGGTAACAAATTTTTCCAATTGAAAAAAAAAACCAACAAAGTAGAGCATACGAACAAATGCGCTATTTTAGGATTACATTTTCCTTTGAGCTTTTTGTGATAGTGCTATCCTGGGACTGTAACTGATCATCAGTTTCTTAAGGCTTAGACATTTTTTCACACGCCGAACATTATTTAGCGGTATTTATTCTTGTCGACGCAGTAACTATTTAAACTGACTGCAATCGATTGTGCGTTTTTAGTTGTGGTGGGAGGCTCGTGAGCCACCCGTTAAGGCGTATATGTCAGTTGCCTGTGGTGTTCTTAGGATTCATATCTCCGAGAAGCTTTGAACCCCAGAGAGCCGTTTAAGGTAGACTTCATTTTGAGAAATATTCGTACGCCTCGTGATAGTGCTTGCCCCTCACTTGTTGTTCTATATCTGAACTCTTCAGATTTATGTTTATAAACGTTAAAAGTTCATTTTACATGGTACCTGATGCAAGTTACTTCCTGGATACTGGTGTTCAATCAATCGATTTTTGAATGTCAATGCGTGGGATCAGGTTGCCCCGTGTATTCGAGCTAGAGGCTCGTGTTTAAGACACATGGCAATAAGCAAAATAAAATACAAAAATAATGGCTTCAAATTTGAAATATCAGGCTAGAAAAATTGAAACTTCTTGGGAAAGTCACTCAAGTCTGTTGACTGCTTGGGATGTGACGGGAGCTAATTCCACAAAAGGGATATCTTGTAAGTAATTGACTGATGGTAATGCCGATTATGATTAATGCGTTAAACAAGATTATTTCCTCTGTTCCTTAAATGATAATGGGTCTTACGATACTCGGAAAGATTAGAGATGTAATCAGGCTTATTTTTCCTTTAGATTTAAAGAATAAGATGAAAGATTGATCATACCTTCTATAATCGAAAGAACGCATATTTGCAATAGACAATGGAGAATCATAATCTAAGCTGTTACTTAAACTTGAGAGGGCTTCTAAAATGCCTTTGTTCAAAATATCTTTGATTCTAATTATCTCTTTCCAAAGGAAATTTTTATTCTTTGAGCTTGCACGGCGTTAAATCAATTATTTGGAAACAACAATGTGATTTTCTCTGTCCTCTTTAATTCTAATACGTTTGACATTCTGCGAGAGACACGGATAACATAACATTAAACTTGCAAATAACTGCTTTGCCATTATTTACATTTGAGTGGAATAGTTGTTTTACCTTCATGGCTTCTCTATCAAGAGATCCATTTATCCTTCAGTTTTTCAACCTATGGATGTACAGACATAGTACAAATGGAAGTTTTCATCGCCTGTATTGAGCGCGTTCATTTTAGCGATAATGTTACTCAAAATGTTTGCCGGGACAAACGAAACCTTTATATACGATTTTGAAAGAGTTTGGTTTCACCATATCGCTAAGCTAAACTGAGCAGTTTTTTTTTTTTCATAATGTTTTTTAATTTTATTTTTATTTTGAAATTTTTGGAGATAACGTTGCTGATGAAAACAGTCCTTGCACATGATTCCCTGAGGTTACACTCGAATGTCAAGGCTCCGGGTTTATTTCTTAAGAGGAAAAGATTGTATTTAGATTACTAATAAATCAACAATACTGAAAAGTAAGTTTCACAGTGTTTCTTCGTTGAAATGAAATATCTACTCATTGGCTCCCTTCCACCTTCACTATGTCTGTTTTTGGATTTTTCTGGTCTGCCGATTGTTTTAGTACTGCAAGGAAAATAACAGAAGTTTTAACAATGTAACGAACTATAACTGAACATTCCGAAAGCTTTCCAGTTAACTGAGGTTGAGAGACAGGATTTAAATGTTTCTGTTACAAGTATTTGAAATAACTTTTTTTATCAACTATTGCCTCTTTTTGGCCCTTAGAAGTAAGTTAGCAATGTGAAGTAGAAATAGTAAGATAGAAGCACTACCTTTCGATTTGGTCTTCATTTTGTCCAAGGATATCTGTCGGGAACACCGCTAAATATGGTTTCAGAAAAACACATAACGTCTTGAACAAATTGACTCTCTATACGGCCCGAAAAAGGTTTCTTGTTTAATTCAAACTTACATTTTGAGTTGAAACTTTCACGGAATGTCTCTTCTTCGATCTAATCAAAGCCGCACGAACCTAGGACAAAGTATAATGAAATTCACAAAAATTAAAAGAGATAGTGATTTTGATTGTGTTAAAATAACGGACTCAGAGGTCATTGTTGATAAATTCTTGTGTTTACACGATTTGGTCATCCCAACAGTGAGAAGATATTCTGACTAAACTCACACGAGACATATAAGTGTTTCGCGGCAAATTAAGTAATTCTAGGTCATTCAGTCTTATGTTTGACCACTTTCTTTTTTCGTATTTGTTGTAATTTTCTTTTCTAACTTCCTGTAGAATATCATTACAATCTGGGGTTTTTTTCGTGATTTATTGTGTAACCAGGTTAGTTTACCTTTTCTGCGGAGTATTGTGCTGCTGCATTAGATGAGGAATACGTTTCCACATATTTTTTTGCTGCATATCAAGAGTGGTTTCATAGTGGTTTTATAGTGTTTTTTCTCGTATCTGACGTAGCTCAGGTTCCGTTCGCAGAACCCTTAGTTTGATTGTACAAAAGTTAAGATTGTATCAGGATGCGTTCGCTACAAGCATTAAATAACCCGAAACTTCCTTGATGCCACCCTCACCTCTTTAAGGTGCCTTCAGAATACCAATTTCTGACTAATTCGTTCCCATGTCATTCAGACGTCAGAAATTACATTTCATGCGGTCTTTGCAGTAATGTTGTTATTTTGAGCGTTCTTATTTTAGCAGACCTTAATACTTTGACAGCTCGGATGAGGTGGCAGTTTGTGTTGTTGTAAACTAAATTTTACTCTCTATTCTGTTTCAATCGACGCAGTTATTATTGATCAATGATAGGGATTTATTTTTTAATCCGTTAGCTTACCTCCGCATTGCCAATGCAGTGACAAATAAAGATGAAAAGACCCTGGAAAAAACAAAATACTTTAAGGGCGTTCTTAAGGAAAATCTAGGAATGAAAAACGTAGAATTTTGTATTCATTAATTAATGTGGCAATCTTTGTGGTTTATTTTAATTAGAGACGACAAAAAAATTAAATTTCACCAAGTTTAGCTAGAAACTTAGATGTAGGTTATATTGAACTTTGCGCGAGGCTACGAAGAGCATCAAACTGAAGCACCGGAGTAGACAGCACTGAGTGTTGTGCATTCACTGTCACTTGCTGAACCAGTTACTATACTTTGTTGTCGATACTAGAGAAATAATTTGATTTTAAAAACTACACTGTTACTCCCATAAGTTAAAAGCCAAACATCCATTAGTAGATAATTTATGGAAAAATATTACGTAACAAAAGCAGATTTCCTCTTTTTTCATTAAAATTCTATTTCCACCCAATGCACTTTTTGTGGTATCCTCAAATACATGTTTCGCCTGTTAATAGAAATGTTATCAATATTCTTAACTATAAACACTTGCTACTTAATCATTGTGTCATATCTGTTGGATATAGAACGTACCTGTGAAGAATTCATTATAGCAAACAAATACTGAAATGCAATGGTTCCAGAGTTGACACTCAAAAGGCCAAAAATCCACGATATACCCAGCAAAGGCATCAAGATCAAAGCCGCCTTAATACAAGATCTAAAGAGAAAAATATATATGATAATTCAGGAGGCTAGTGACACCTTCCATAACCAACCTTTTAAGAACGCAGTGGGATCTTAGCCTGGGCTGAGGATGAGAAGTCTGACGGGTCAGTTTTACGAAATAGCATAAACACGTGAAACTCCCACCGCTGCTCCCACCAGAGATTACATACAAATTTTTCATTCCAGACTTTCTAACGCATAAATAATGAGATCAGAGATGCTAGGCAAACCTTAAATCAAGGTCACAAAATTGGGTATTTTCTCACGTATATTTCGTTCTGTTTTTGCAAGAGATCAGTACTTGTTCTCTTTATGAGTGAGCATCTAATGGCAGATAGTTATTTCATTTCAATATCAACGTTTTTGTAAAATGATGATTACATACCCCCCCGTGACTTATGACCAAATCAGAATTTAGAGCAAGTTTTCAAGCGAATAAAAATAAAAAAGGACTGATGGCTTTTCATGGCTGGGAAATCATTACATTATCAAACAAGAAGATCCTTTATTTCAAATCCTTTATTTTAAAACGGTAATTTTTAAAGCTATAAAGCTTGTTGGGTCGTATATCTAAGGATCTTAAGTCCTAACGGACTTACGAAAGTTTACAATTTATCAAGAACCTGATATACAGCCATCTCGAGAAGGGTGAAATTAACTAAATTTCATGCCAATTACAGTCTTTCGGTTTAACTTTACAGGTCTTCTGATTTGAAAGCGCATGTGGATGTAGATGCACTTTGAAGGTAAATATTCCTAAAACTATCCAATAATCTCAGTTTCCACTCGAGGCTCCCATAACAGGGGATGTTTGCGTGTCAAGCAGTTCCAGAGTAGCACGCCTATGAGCGGAGAGAGTCTTTCATGTAGCAGGTGTTCAGGCGCGGAAGTTTTACTCATGGTACGCTTTATGGATACAAATAAAAAATACAGGTTTGAAGTAAGAATACAGGTTACACCATTGTGCTTGTTTCAGTACTTGGCATGACTCCATATCATTGGGAAGGTTTAAAATAAGTCTAGCTGCTCTGTAATGGAGCCGTTCTAGTGACTGAAGTATTTCGCTGTTACAGCATGATCCCCATAAGACTAGAAGAGACCATAGGACAATGAGAGCAGAATCACATCAAAATACAAATCGGTTAACGCGGAAAGAATTTTAATCTCTTAAGTTTCATAAACAAGATAGAATGAGAAACACTGTCAATGGCCTTTTTGAAATCTACAGAGACTACTGCAGCCGCGGATCCTGAGTCGTGTGTTTTTCTCCACGTTTCTGTGAGATGTGTTAGTAATAGTTCAGTCGAATGTCCTGCCTGGGCGGTATGCCCATTGATTGAATCTACCGGGAGACAAACCCTCAAAGACATGGACTAGCTCTAAGCATAAAAAAAATAATTTCCAAAATCATATTTCATTTTCATCATCAGACTCAATAACATGGCGACTATGCTTCGCAGGAATCGGTGCCGGCACATGAGGGGCTGGAGACTGTGAACCAAGAACAATAGTGCATTTGTTAAATACACCATCAGAGAAGGAGTTCGAAGCTGGTTGGCTCAAACCTGTACTAGTAGTAGTACACAGAGACGTATTGCGTTATGGGTGAATTGTGTCAGCTTACACATTTCATTGCTTCTCTACCGCTTGAGCGCTGGCTAATCGAAAAAGGACATCTTTTGTTGCTCTTCAAAAACTGCTGGGTAGCTTTCGATTGGCTTAAGATTCTTGTGTCCCGGCAATTGCAAGATGTGAAGCAGGTTTACGTTCTCTTTTCCCAGCATAGTGATCATCGTACGGCGCGCAGGATGGCTAGTGTGCTCGAGCCATACTCTTCATGAAATTGCCAAGAGAATGTACTCCGAGTGGTTGCTTTTTGAACCAGACATCGGTTGTAGGTTTTTTCACAGCCAAGTAAAAAAGGTCATCTGGATTTCTCATTTCAGCAGGTCGCTTAACGAGATAACCCTTGAAAAACTTTACTGGACACCTTTTACCGCCCGTCGTATACATCCAATGATTGAAATACCTTTCGGAACTAAATTCTTTGACACCGTTTCTTGTTTTTCAGAGCTCCAGGTCTCCCAGCCAGAATCTTCGACGTTCATCTCTTGCCCTCCAAACAAAGTGCATCGTGTTGTATAACCACACTGTACAGATAAGAGCCTCTAGACAGTGCTCGCGGAGTTGATTTGTAGACCACCGCTTCTCCGTTTCTGATTCTCTGAGGCCAAGCTTGTTGGAAGGCGGCCTTTTTCCATCTTGGCGAAGCTGTTTAGACTCAAGTGTTACTCTTGACTTTGAAAATTCTATATCGTTCAAAAGGCAGTAAGGCTTTTCGTGGTCACGTAAATGGCGGACAATACATCTGTGGAAGGATGTTAGCCTACTTGGCTCGAACTCAGTACAGTCTTACTTCTTGATATTTACTATATTTTACTGGGTGGGATATTCTCAAGTCCTCTTTCTTCGCCAATGGAGGTAAACCACCTTTTCCGTACATTAAGGTCAGTCTTCGTCTTCTTCGCAGTGTTTATGTTCTTGTTTTGCTCGATGAATTCACCTATATTTGCATCGTTTAGTAGGTCTGCATTGGGAGAAACGCTTTCTCTATCATTACTGGGCAAAATTTCAAACTTAGTTCGAAAGAAGGAAGCAGGTCAACACAGTCACAATCCGCGGATGCGAAAATTTCATCCATTTTTTTTCTCCTTTGAAACAACAACACATGCAAGTGTAGACAACCTGTCAAACAGAATCTTTATAGTGCAAAATAAACAACTGTCCAAATATCCGTACAATATCGCAAGGTATTTGTACTCTATTCGCGCGTTATTTGTACTCTGCTTTGTGCAGTTGGATAATAAGAGCGCTTATTTCTGTTTCCTCGACCGAAGCGTTAACAGTATAAAATAGCCACGTTTCAAAGGACTTTCTATTGTTTATTGATGAGTCTTTCGAAACCTATGATTACAAACAGTTTATCAGGTTATATGAACAAAGTTCAAAGAAAACGAACCACAGATTTTACATACCCGATGGCCTCAGATGTCGACTTCGGGAGGAAGCTTGCAGTACTAATGTTATTAACGGTGATTAACCTAATTAAGTAGCTATGACGTATCTAATTTTCGTCGCGGCCGAAACACTCCACGCCTCCCGAAGGTATTGACCTAATTCTTAATTTACATTCCGTAAGTTAGTTTCATTTAATGTCCTTTTACTTAAGACTGCCGCGCAAAGTTCAATTCGATCGATCGATAATTTCCTATTTGGCGAGAGTCGGTTCTTTGACATGATCAGTCTGGTTTCAAATTTGTTGTCCGGTAATGTCCACCTGATGTAAGCACATGCTCCGTAAGCGTTGTCTGACCCGTCACTGAATATGATAAGAGTCGGCAGACCGAGTGCACCTGATGGTTTGAGGCATCTTGGAAATATAACTTGATCCATATTGCGCAGATCTTGGAAGAATTCCAGCCAGTTAATTCTTTGCTTCTCAGGGACAGGGTCGTCCCAGCCGAGTTTCTTTTCTGTTGCCCAAAGCTGGCGCATCAAAATCTTCGCTCTGACCGTAACGGGAGCTGCTAGACCAAGAGGGTCATACACGCGGTTTATCTGTGAGAGGATAATCCTCTTCGTTATTTCGCCAGTAGTTGGGTTTTCTTTGATGCGTCCTTTGGCTTTCGTCAGAGTTAAGTCTATTCCCACTTTAAACCGGAATTGATCCTTGTCTGTACTCCAAATGACGCCGAGTACTTTCTCTGTTGATGAATTTTGCTGGTTGGGTTCTAAAGCCATTTCGTTTGCTGTTTTGTCGTTCGAATAGAACCAACCCTTTATCTTGAATCCGCCCTTGACTAGGACTGCCTCAATCTCATTAGTTAGTTGCTTAGCTTGTGCGTCGCTATGTACACTGTCTACAATGTCATCCATGTACGAGTTGGATATTACGGTATTCGCGGCTTGTGGATAATTCTCTTTTGATAGTTCCGCTGTCTTTCTCATGGCTACGGTCGCTATGGTACCCGAGGGTTTGTCTCCAAATGAAACTCTTTGTATAACGTACGTATCCGGATCCCTGCTTGTGTTCATGTCGCGCCATAGAAAACGATGCGTGTGTTGCTCTATGATCTTGGTCTTCACGGTGTGATACATCTTTTCACATCTCCGATGAATCCAATTTCGTGTTCTCTGAATCGCACGAGGATTCCTACAAGATTATTTAACAGATCGGGACCCTTTGCCCAGTACTCGTTAAGGACGTGTCCCATATAGTTCGCGCTGCTGTTAAAGACGATTCTCACTGGAGTCGATTTCGAATCAGGCTTTAGAACATCGTGGTGGGAGATGTAGTGGATAGGGCCTTTATAAGTTTCGAGCTCTTGCTTGCTTAGTTTCCTAGCTACTCCTCGTTCTACCATGTCCTCAACTTGATTTTGATAAACTCTGCTATGTTCGGGATTTCGCAATAATCTTCGCTCGGTGCTTAAGAGTCTTCCAAAGGCAGCTCTTTTGTTATCTGGCAGGTCGTGTGGGTCGCGAATCCAGGGATATTCAGCGATCCAGCATTTTTCCTGTTCGTTAAATTCAAGGCCTTTCTCGATGAGATGGAGCTCCCTTTCTTCTTTCAGAGTGTAATCGCTGGTTCCAGGAGCGCATTTTCCGCATTTGCAGCCTCCGCAGCGCGGCGTGCAGCTAACACCTAATCTCTCGATATTGTAGAAGTCGTCAATTTTGACTGCTTTTAGGTGGTTTGCACATGCGTCGAATGCTGATTTGTGGTTCTTTTCCCGAATGGAAGGGTGTGTCCCGCCTATACATTCGAAACCCGTTCATCAGCGCGATGGCAGAAGAAGCCAAGAACGTCCGCCGCGTCGCCAAATCAAGATTCACCAGAAAAAGGAACGAACTCCTGAAGTCCATCTCATCAGCCAGCAATCACGATCTCGTGGAAAACAACTACGCTCAATTCCTGGAAGCATGGAACGTCCTGGAAACAAAGCACGATCTCTACGCGATGCTTTTATCAGACGACGCCGAGCTAGAAGCCGCCGAAATATGGATCAACAAAGTCCAGGAGGAGTTCACCGAAGCGACAAAAGCTAAGATTAACTTTATTAACCACATAGCGGACGTGCAAATGAGAGCGCGCGCAGAAACGGAACAAAGGGATAAGGCGAACAAAGAACGCGAGCAAATGGAACGATTCTTTGATCAAGCAATGATCAGACGAGAAACAGCGCGAGCCATATTTGAAACAGCTTGTCAAAGCGCTTCGCACACACTCAGCGCGGACAAAGTAAAGCCGTCTACGGCGAAGAAACTTCAGAAACAGATTGACGAAGCTTTCGCGGAATGCAAACTAGCGAATAGCGCGCTACTCGATTTATCTACGCGAGAATCTGCAGCCAATGAAATTAAATGGCTCCAAGCTACTCAAGCGATGTATAACGAGATGAACGCTAAACTCGAAACACATCTCGTATGCGAACATGAACGCGAACTGCAGCCGCAGATCAAAGGAGAAAAGAGAAATCACCTACAACTAGAGAAAATCAAAATGCCCCGATTTGAAGGAGAGTTGAGAGAATATCCATCCTTCAAAAGAGACTTCCAGAAACAAGTCATGCCGCACCTTACGGAAGATACATTATCCTACACGTTGCGTTCCTGTCTCGGAAAAGAACCTTTAGCTCACGTAAAGAGCGTCGACGATGACGTTTACGAGATGTGGAAGCGACTCGACGAAAAATACGGGGACCCAGCGAAAGTCGCGGACGTGATAATTAATGAGATAAGACGCGTAAGATCCATCCGCGAAGGCGAAAACAAGCGATTCATAGAGCTGGTAGGAATCATAGAAGACGGATATCGTGACCTTAAGAGACTTGGCTTGGAAGCAGAAATAACCACAACGAGCTCAGTAAGCATCATAGCGAGAAAACTCCCGCCAGACGTACGCAAAGAATGGGCTAAACTATTAAGTTCTGACGACAGCACTGTGGACAAAACCAACAAGTTTCCGAGCCTGCTCAAATTTTTACTTATGCAAAAACGCGCTATCGAGTACGACGATTCTGATCTTCGCGCGCAGGGCCCAACCATAACGAAGGCAGTTGTCCATTACGCCACAGCGGATGAAAGACACGACAGCCGCAGCCAGAGAACTTACAGCAAGTGCGTCGTTCACGAAAACTCGAATCATCTTACCAGGGATTGTAGAGTATACCTCGATAAAACAGTAAGCGAAAGACTATTAACATTGAAAGAAAAAGGTGCGTGTTTTTCCTGCCTCAGAACCGGTCACCGATCACGCAATTGCCGCTCTAAAAAGGATTGCGGCGTCAATGAATGTAAGAAGAAACATCATCCCACATTACATGAAGAAGATCAGACAGAGACTCCAAGCGCATCCGCAATATCCAGTGCATGCAGCCATGGGGGTAATGAGACCTGCATCCTCCAGTTGCAACAAATAAAAACTTCTAGAGGACATGCAAACGTCTTGTGGGACAACGCATCATCCATTAGCCTCATAACCCGCGACAAAGCACGGGAAGAAAGACTGCGCGGAACGCCACTTGAAATCTCTCTCGTGAAGGTGGGAGGGAAGGAAGAGAAGATAAGTTCCAGAAAATACAAATTGCCGCTCATTGACCTCAAGGGCGAAACGACGCTTGTGGAAGTTTTCGAAATAGACAAAATTACCACCGACATTCAAAGTGTTAACATGGATAAGGCACTTGACGCTCTCAAGATACAAAGGGGCGACGTGACTCGGCCGAAAGGCGCCGTTGACGTCCTCATTGGGTATGATTACGCAGACTTCCACCCGGTAAAAGAAAGAAATGTCGAACACCTAATGTTATTGAAGAATCGTTTTGGACGATGGTATACTAACTTAAGTAGCTATGACGTATCTAATTTTCGTCGCGGCCGAAACAATTTCGTGTGAAGAAAACTCTCTCAGTAGACTGTTCCGGGGGTTTAGGTAGCAAAACGGAACGAACTGCGACCACAGCAATGCAGCCGTATCAATAAATCAGTATTTTAAACAAAGTTTTACCTCAGAGAGTTTTTCTGTACGTTACTCTCGGCCACATCAGTCAAGGAAACCAAAACTTTTATCGTCATTCCAAGCATGGACAGGTTAAACTTCAAAAGCGAATAGTGTTAGTATCAAAATTCATCAAAATGTATCTGGTCGTGGAAATACTCACCAAAATTATGGCTGCGACTGGTCCAACAAACGACCAAATGAGTCCCTTGTCCAATGACAGCCAGCACCTGATGAAATTTAACTTCATTACGAAAATGTGATTTCAGTGCCCTTTATCGTTGCTTCTTACATCTTGTTCTAGTAATTTCCTTATGGATCGTTTGATTGACGTGGATCAGATTCAAGGTGACGTAAAAAATGGACGAGAGTCAAAGTTGCCTGATAAAATACGTTTGAGGTGTTTTTGAAAACAAAAAATGGATCTGATCAAAGTTGGAGAAATGATGACGAGATATCAGAGGGTGAGCTTTCTATTTTTGTGGGTTGTTTCTTGTTATGAGAAGAGACTATACTTTTCTTCCTTTTTTGTTCTGAATATTTCTATTTGTGTAAATTCAAATATGTTGGTATCTGTAATTGGATAGCTTCACTTCCCCAATCAGTGCGTCATACATCTTACAGCCAGCAATGTGGAGAAGGGGTGTATTCCTTGTATTTAGACACTATCTTGCACAGGTTACAAGAGCTAGTGACTGAATACCAAATATATGTACAGGTTTGGTTAATTCAGTCACCGAGAGAAAATTGTAAGTAAAAATCCTATGAATTATTGAAATCATATGAATTCATTATCGAGTACTAAGTTGTATTACATACGTATTTCTTGTACCATATCCTTCCGTTCTGGTAATGGCAGATATTCCAACAACAATGATGGGAGATCCTGAGCAAACAATAATACCAAAATTAGCTTCCGTTTTGTATATAATGGCATCAGATTTGTCTTCGACTTACTAATTAGAATAAAGCATTTAAACGCACAATGTAAAACAAAACTTGAGATCACTATTCGTAAAACATTTATTAACGATAGATCTTATGTGCTTTTTGCTATCATCTTCTGTCTTCAATTTTGAATTTTCTCTGTTTCTACCGTTGGTCTGCTCATAGTCTGCTCATAGTCCAGTCTTCACAATCTTCGTCTTACTTCTCTATAGAGACAAGAAGTTTTATAATCTGTAACGAGGACGTCTAACCGATTACATCATTAAAATATGTGACTTTCATCGATTCCTTTTTTCTTTTGAAGGTATACATCTGACGAGCTTTGAAAAAAGTCATCAAATTTTGCTTTCTTAAAAAATGAATAATACAAGGAAAAAAAGAGAGAAAAATAATAATTCGTGTTCTCCTCAATTAACGAAATAATAATTTTTCGGCGAAAGGAAAAAAATCGTCTTTCACGGAAAACGTCAGTTATACATTTTCAACAGTCCATAAAGATCTACACGACCGACTATTTCTTCCAAAATCGTTAATATGTACTCACCCCAGCCAAAAACAGCATAGTATATGAATTTGAGATTTTGGAGATTAAAGACAGCGACGATCTTGAAATAAAGATGCAGTCCTTCTGCACTCATCCAAGCGAAGCTTGCGGTGTACAGGTAATGTAGAAGAACAGCTACTAATGTACATAACCACTGGAAAACAAGATAATTTTATAAATGATTTATTCCTCAACTTTGTCTGTATCCAGCTTTCGAACATATACTTTAAGGAAAAAAATTGTGAATCAATTTTGTCTTCTGTCAACTATTTTGACGTTTTCAGAGGTGAGACGCAAAAGTCACACATTCCTGGGAAAACAGAGGTGCTGAATGAATTCTCAATAATTGTCTGATTCCTGGATTACAGCTGGATAACTTAATTGTGGTGATCAGAAGGAGGTAACTATGCTTTGTGTCCGACTCTTTTATTATATTTACATATTATGATATACTTTACTAGAAAGAAGAGGTTTGAGTCGGCAATGTTTCAAAATTGTCGTATTTGATATGATTTTTTCTCTCATTCAGAGAGAAACATAGATCTTACCTTTCTTTCTGTTGCTGTTATTCCCACAAGAAAAACCACTTGAGCCATTGCCAAGGCAATGCATAGGTGGAGATGAATTTTGTATCTGATGTCCGTTAACGACCTAACAAAAGAAAGAAGTGAAAACGTTTCTTTTCACGTTCCGAACACGAAGAAGAATCAGACTGGAACGTACTGATTTTCGTGGAAACATGTCGTTTGGAGTGTGATTGATTGCACAGAATTTTACTTTATTACCACTCGCTCAGATGAGGTTTAAGCCCCTCGTTACTGTTAAGTGAATGATGTTTCAGTCAGATTCTTTTACATTTAAAAAAAAGACAAATACTATAACAACCAAACAATGCATTTTAGTTATAGCAGCTTGAACTTGTACTATGCTTTCTGTCATAGGCTAAAATAAATAAACTGAAAAAATTCACAAACCTTAGATATAGAAATATCATTATGGCAGAGGCAAGAGACACCAGTGATATTGAACACCCAATGTAAGTGATAATCCCCAGAGCAAATTGATCTTTTGGGGACACCTAAAAATAAAACGTTAAAACGAAGACAGGTGATAATAAATAATGAATAGATGATTAATAAAAAATAGTCTTCAGAGTAAAGGGATGATGTTTAGTTCATTATATCACAAAACGTAGTGCAATTAGATTGTGATTAACCAAACGTTATTCTTAAAATTTTCAGCATGTCAATTTGTTAAATTGAGACTTTTATAGAGACGATGCAGTGCATTTTTTTGAAAAATATTCAGAGTACCTTCTGATTATAGCTGAATTCGTGTTTGTAACTAAGATACTGTCTCTTACTGATTGCTAAATTTTAAGCTTGAAATTAGATAAAAATGGTGTAATACTACGATAAAGTTGAGAAAAACGGCAACAAAAAGCGATGTATCATTTATTTTCCCCTAAGTATCGGCTAATGCAACGCAAAAAACACTAAAAAGCAAGACCGGATACTGAAGCTAAATACTACACGTTGAACGCCACAACCTGGATGCACGTTTAATCTAATTCCCAGATAGACAAATATATTTGGTTGCAAAGATGTGTGGATGTGTAAATGTGATTCGCTTTAAAATAAATAATTGATACAAATATCTAAGTACAAATATAATAAAAACAAGAATAACGTCAAAGCTACATGAAATAGAAACCAACTTACAATTTGTGGCGTAACCACGTACGATAGAAAAATTCTCAAATAAAAATAACACGGCGCCAGCAAAAACTAACGAAACGCTGACTAAGCTGAAATCAATTACCGTTGAAAATTATCTCACGAAAACAACGCTTATACTGGCGAGAAATAAAACGCTACCGACGTCACTTCTTTCTTACACAAACTCACGCACGAACCCGAATTTAATTGAATGGAGACAACATCACAATAGTAATTCGATTGAAAATCGTTTCCCAGTTACCTGACAATAATTAGAAATGCAAATTCTAGTTGCTGCAGTTCAGCCCTGAACTAAAATTGAGTTCACTTTAAGTGTTGGGCGACTAAAATTCAAATAGTAAACAACATAAGAGTCTCTTTAGTTAGTCTGGTAGTGTTCAAAGTTCACGCAGATCTTACGCACAAATTCCAAGGCTTTCTCACTTTTAATAAACAACACGATTGTCAGGCAAATTAAATAGATAGAGGCCTTCGACAGAAGTAATCTCTCCTGTTCGAGGAAACATAGCTTTGAAATTGGCTTAAATGTCCTATCGACTCATGAACATACATAATAAGCAGCTTCGTATCATGGTTCTATGAGGGTAACAGAGATTGATCTTTCTATATTGGTGCTCCAACGTTGAATTTTCAAGTTTATCACCAACTCTTAACATTCCCTCTCCACCCAGAAATGGTCTCATCTAGTACACCGAACCAAATGAGCCGATTATTTTTAATTTACGCTTCTTGTATCCTCGTGGGTTTACGTCTAGAGGGCTTTAACCACTGACGAGAAGGCTAATTTTGCACGTACTTGATGATTTGAGCCTCTGCGTGTCGTAATTCGTCTAGAGACAGCCTCCCCAGTGTGAAGGACCAACAGCGTCCTCTTGAACGCACCTCTTGCTTTTACGGAATTTTCCAAATCCCAGAAGCCAAGCAACTCCCTTACTGAGCTTAAACCATGACGAATATTGCAGAGCCATTAGCTTCAGTGGTCGTTTATCCTCCATGAGAGTAACATGCTTCGTTTGAGCTTGAACTCTGACATCTGAGTCTTCATCGGAAATGCTGACTGATGAGACTCGATAGGTGTGGGCCATGATTTTTCACTTTCCTACAAAAACTTAGGGCCTCTGAATCAAACTTCCCTCTTTAAAAAACTCCTTTACCTTGGCTGGCACGAGGTTTAATCGTAATCTATATCTTGACAGTAAGGCACAAATCTTCTCTCAATTTACTAGCGACTTTATTTGATTGCACCGACTTCAAACATTCGTCCACAAAAAAGTTCTTCACTCCTGTGTCGATAACTTCGTGGCCAAAGTCTTCTGAACTGTCTTGAGCCGTCTTTCGAAGACCAAAACTAGCACAACTTGGTGAAGACATGCTACCAAAAAGATGTACTTACAATATGTACTCAACAGATAAGCTAGAAAAGTCATCGCCAAGCCACCAAAGGAACCTTGAGGCATCAAAATCGTTTGGATCAACCATTACTCGATGGAACATGGCTTCAATGTCTCAAGAGAGAGCTACTGGTTCCTGACGAAACCTTAAGAGGACACTAAGTAGGCTGTTTGTCAAGTCTGGACCACTTGGTAGTAGGTCATTAAACGATGACCCTTTGCATCGAGCTGCGCAGTCAAACGCTTCTCTCGGTTTCCTAGGCCTATTAGGATTGAAGACAGCATTGTGTAAAAGAAACCAGAGAGGTTTGCCATCGGCACCCAGCTCTTTTTCAGATACTCGTTGGGCGTATTCCTTTGTGATGTAGTCATGAATAGTCCTCTTGTAGCTTTCAAATAATTTGGAATCACGAAGAAATTCTTCTTCAACAGTTGTAATCTTTGAACTGCAAGAAGTTTGTTGTTTGGCAAATGTGGAGGTTGTTTTCGCCACGGAAGTGCTATTTGGTTATGACCAGACACGAACTTGGAAGATCCCTCCATTATTCTTAAGGCTTGTTTACCTTCTCTAGACACACCTTCGTACTTGATATTGAATCGACAAAGTCAGTCGTCCAAAACTTCTCTACCTGCTTTAGACGGATTTTATCATCATTGTGGTCTTCCAAGCGTATGAAGTTCACATTCACGCTGTCCTGATCTCCAATATTTTGGGTTGGTCCTAGTATCGTCCAGCCTACTAATGATCGAATACCCACTGGATCACATTTATTACCACGTCTCGCTTCGAGAACTCAAAGCTTCAGGTGCGTTGCATCCAATGAGTTAAAGGGACCTCCTTGTTCTCAATTTCTGGGATTTCAATTCCGTTCAGATGAGGCCATTTGTTTACATCTTGGTCTGTTGGTATTTTTTGCTATGCAATGTTGAGACGCTAGACTGTCCAAACTTAAGGTTCTTCTTAACTTGATCCAGTGTCAAGTGAATTGACAATCAGGTTAACTTCGAATCCTGTACTTGCACTGTTTCTCCTCTCGTGCGTTGTTAGGTAGAAATTCCTTCAGATTGCACTAAGACCTAACACTTGGATCAGCCTGTCATCGCAAAGTGACACATCGGAACCATTGTCTAACAATGCGTATGTCTCCACTGCTTGTCCTGGTTGCTTTCCTTGCACTCTCACAGAGACGATTCTCAAACGTACTTTCCTACTAACTGCACCAGTGTTACTTCCCAGTTTGCGGACGCCGGTCCTCATTGGAGTGGTTGTCGGGCTAGCTTCATTGACGTCGTCGTTGTTCATCTCTTTACTTTGCCTCGTCGTTAAGGAACGTTCCGGCGGATGAATAAGAGTCCTGTGTTTTCCAGTATAACATTCGACGTAACATCCACTCTTCTGCATGTATCCACTTGCAAAGTGTCTCACTTATAAACAATTGCTGCAGAGTCTTGCGTCACGAATTATCTTCATTCGACCTTCAAAGGATTTCTTTCAGCATTTTGCTATACACTTTAAATTCAACTTTTTACTTTGTAAAATCAGAACTGAAGATGACAGAAGAACTGTCAAGACATGTTTTTAAAAAGTGTCGTTTGTTTTCTTAAATTTCTGCATAAACATTTCACAATTCCATAATTGATGAGGTTCGTCGCAAAGAAAACATTTCCCATTCCCACTACTTCTTTGTCTCCGGGAGGGCTAATGATTCCAAATTTTTCTTCCACATGGTACAATGGAATTGGGTCTTCCAGAGTTTGCATACGTTAAGTGAGAAGTCGTCATTGTATCTGGAGGTCTCGGCTTTCTATCCGATGTATCATTTTTGCCTTTATCTTCTTCGCTATAAAGTACGCCACTAGACTGGACTGTTAGCAGCTCGGGCTCTTTCTGAAACAAAACTTGAAAAATGATGCACCCTGGGAAGGGGAGACGATCAATTATCTTCCTTAAACTATCAGCACTATTAATTTCATCTAAACATCCAATTGACTCCAACACGGTTAGACAGTCTTTTAATTGATCTGCAAAGGTCTGTAATCCTTTCCGATCGTTAGGCTTCACAGGCGGTCCACGGGTTGCCTGGTTGACGTGGGAAGTGGCAATTTTAAAGGGATGACCAAAACGCTCTTTAAGCACTTTCCTTGCTGTTTGGCACCCAGACGCGGGATCCATGGTGACACAACTCTTGATGGCATTAGCATGGCCAATACCATACTGAAGTAGAAATGTCAACCTTGCACTCTCATCCGAGGTATTCTTCTCAATGTTGTTTTCAAACGATCGCATGAAACTCCAAAATTCGAGGGGGTTGCTATCGAACAAACTGAGATCAGGTTTAGGTAAAAAAAATCCTTGCCTTATCGTCGTTTCCATAGATTGAAAGGCTTGCTGCTGAGACTGCATCAGCTGCTGCAACAGTTGTACAAATTCAAATGGTTGCCATGTGAAGATGTACCAGATACATATTCTGCTTGACGAGTTGCGACCCGACCCATGAGGTATCACCTCATTCGGTCCATCCACGGATGATTTCTTTAACGTCTTAAACGATTTCTTTAAAGTCTTAAACGATTTCTTTAACGTCTTAAACGATGGTGCACTAAAAACCTTTTCTCTTTTAAGCTTGAGAAGTTTCATTATCAATGTTAGCCTCCAAAATTCGCCATAAAGCTTTTTAAAGAACCCTTGATAACCTCCAAGAAATCGCCGTAAACCATTTTGAACTTTCGTTGTTGCAGGAGTGTCATCGGCGAAAATCCTAGAGCTGGGCGTTGCCACATCAATTCTCTCACTTCCAATTCCAATACCACTTTCCGGGAAGAAATCGCCGGTGCCATCCATAGTCAATCCATGCACAAATTTTGCTAAAAATGTAGCTAAATATTACACGTTTAACGCCACAACCTGAATGCACGTTTAATCTAATTCTCAGGACGACAAATATTTGGTTGTAAAGATGTACAGATGGGTGAATGCGATTCGACTGAAATAAATAATTGACACAAATATCTAAGTACAAATATTACAACAATAAGAATAAGGACAAAGTTACATGAAATGGAAACGAACTTACAATTTGTGGCGTAACCACGTCCGGTAGTAAGACTCTTAAACAAAAGTGACACGGCGCCAGCAAAAACAAACGTAATGACTGACCTAGTTGAAATCAACTAGCAGTGGAAATTATTTCACGAAAACAACGCTTATACTGGCGAGAAATAAAACGCTACCGGCGTTACGTATTTCTTAAGGCCTATTTACACGGCACGACTTAGGACAGGCCTACGACATGACTTAAGAGTCGTAAGCGAGTTGTAGGTTTGATTTACACGAAACAATTCGTGTCGTAAGCCTGTCGTAAGCTTGTCGCATGCGACAAAGTCGTACCGTGTAAATAGGCCCTTACGCAACCTTACGCAAAAACGCGAACTTAATTAAATACAGACACAACGTCACAATAGTAGTTCGATTGAAAGAAAAACAATATAAGATCGTTTCGCAGTTACTTGACGATAAATAGAAATGCAAATTCTAGTTGCTACAGATGCATCAAAACAACAGTTCAGTAGAGATCTTAAAAAAGTGAACGTCTCTTAAGATGTGTTGGCGTTTATTTGAATTAGAGCACTTACATCGACTTCCGTGAAACTCATGATGACGGCAAAGCTTGTTAAATGATTTGTTGAACAATCAGTGCTCTCACTGTCACTCTTGATCAATGATAAGCCATTGGATGACCATTCTCCTCCCCTTCGAAAAACAATAGTCAGCGCCGATTATGAGAAAATGTCATGTAAACCATCACGAGCTTGCCTGATCTTAACATCGTGGTCAGTGCTTACCCAGAAAAGGACTTCCAGTAAACACACTTTGAATTTCCTCCAATTTGTATCTGTGGAATAGTTAGTTTTCAAAACAAAAGTTACATTTCTAATTTTTACTTGAATAGAATAGCTAGAGTGCTCTGATATACATGTTTACAAACAAACCTTGTCTCCAAAGGTCAAAAAGGCTTCCTTCGCAAGGAAATGAAGAGGTTGTCTGTCATAAAACGCCATAACGGATATGATTTCTGAGTTGAGAACAGCTTCTCGCAAATGCTCCCTGCATCGTGAGACGAGAAAGGAAATAACAGATGGTAACTTACTTATCTATTTTTGGTGACAAGTGATTGAGGCAATTTGGATCCTTCCGATCACGCACGCGCAAATATTATTACCTCAATGCATCGAATGTATTCATTTCAATGGTAAACAAAAAACTATTCTGAAGAATTGAAAAAGTGTAGAGATTTTGAATCCAGCTCAGAATATTTTTAATATCGATTTTATTTTGAAGATACAAGCTACTGTCCGCTACCTTGTTTTTCCTCCTTAGAATAAATCTCGCTGAACAATTCATGATCTTACGAGCTTTATTTCACTTGTCTTGTCAAGCTCTTTTGGGTGTCTTGTTCCTTAGTTACTAACAGCGAAAATGATCCATGAGAAAGGATATGTAAACTAGAATGATAAATTTTTTTCTTCACCCGTCTATTGCAGCGGACGGTGTCCTGCTTGTGAAATAGGATATTTGATTTTTGTAGATAACCATGCTCACAGCAAGGCGACCTACCAAGAAAGGTATAACGAAGAGCAAATGTATTATCAAGTGAATGTTAACGAAAGCATGGCTGCGTGACACTTACGGCATGACACGTAAGTACATGTGATCAAACATTTTTAGTAAACAATTTGTCACCCTGTTGCCGGTAACATTCTCGCCGCTCTGCGTTGAGACCTTTAGTCCATTCGGTTGAGTTCGATATGAATCATTTTGAAGATGCTGTAAAGGGTTTCAGTCGTTGTCTTTTTGCTGAATAGAAATTTGAAAGTTATGATATTTTTAAAGCGAATCCTGCAGTAAATAACAAACTGCTTACCCTCTTTTGTGTATCTACTAATGTTCATGGATAATCCACTTGCTTGAAGAGTTATTAAGGCTGTTGACCGAGATTGTTTGTTAGAATTGGGTATCGTCACATTGCTGTTTGGATTGACGTATTGTACTATTGAATGCATTTCTAAGGAGAAACAGAAGTTGCATAGTGATTCGTTAAATCAACTTCAGAATACAAGCCGAGCATTTAAAACAACTGCACAAGATGAATTATATGATATAACACTGTAAACTCTGTGGCCTTGGCTGGAATGATGAGGGGAGTATCCTTTTCCGAATAGAGAATCTTTTTGTTTTTTCCTGGTTGGTCAGAGGATGTTTGATGCACTTTACTTTGAAAAGGAAAGTTATCTCTTAAAACTGTGAAGAGAAAATTACATTTCGTCTAGATTTATGCTACAACGTTCTTACCTAGGTTTTTCTTGATTAACATCACGCTTTGGTTAGTGGCAGACGTATAATTTATTGCTAACAAAGCTGTCTTCTCCACAGCTTCCACAAGATCCATGAGCTGTTAGTTGAGAATAAGTTAATAATCTTAAACTCCTTCGGCCACTCAGTTTTACTCGACGTTTACACCCAGTGTTAACATTTAAGTTGGTAACACTCTATTCCATTGCTCAACACGTACATTAATTCTTGCGAAAAAAATTACTGAATTCAATAAAATCTAAAGAACCTCGATAGTATGAAAGTCTTTTGAGTTGTATTGTTCTCGTTTTTGTATCGCAGAAACGATACGGGACCACGGGAACCTCAGCAACTTGCTCTATAAGATATTTGCTCCTTTTTCGTGAGCTGACTTTTCGAAAGATAACTCGAGCCAGTATAACTGTGAATCCCTTTAGAACACTTTGTCCTCAACCTCAGGGAGAAAAATTCACTCCTAAAATGACATCTCGACTATAAAAATCGACCATGACATCTTGATTTTCGAAGCCTGAGACAAGACATTTATAAAGATCAGGTTGAGTTGATGTTTTCGTATCCAAGATTAGTTGTAATCAGGAGCCCATTAATGGCCTCCTGTTGTAATATGAGTTTTAACATCTGTATTAATTGCATATTCAAGAAACTGATTTATTCCTGAAGATTTTTTAATCCTTACATAAACTGAGTCTAAAGACGAGAGAACACTGACATCATAATTAATCTGCCCTGAACTACCTTAATGTTCGAATACATTCAAATAACTGCTCAGGGTGCTCCGGACATATTTGATCAAACTTACAGCTTCTATGACTCTTTGAGGATTGGTTTACATGTTTTACTTGATGGAACAAGCTGCTTATTTGTAATGTGGTAATCAATGATTCTGTCTGTTTCATTAAATCTTCAACAAATCCAGTATTAGTTAACACGTCGCGGTGTTTGCATAACTCATGTGTGCAAGATACGAGTATTATTTGCTGTTTAGAAATTGTAATATCCTCACCATTCCGCTACTGCGCCATACTGCAGCGTTTTTGTCGTCCAAGAGTTCATCAACAGTGTTGAGTAAAGCAGAAATGAGCTTATAAAAAACATAAAACAATGTTTTACAATTGTTTGCGGCTTAGACAATCAAGTTTAGTACAGTTTTGTCAATAATTACAATGTCTGTTGAGGCGAGAATGAATCTGATTAAGTTCTTTGATTTCTTAAATCTGCTTTTCTTCTATTTTAGTGTACATTGCAAGAATCAAGTCTTCACTATTAAGACAACACAAGATCTAAAATACATGGCCTTTGTCACACAAATTGGTTTCATAAAGGCATCGCGCGATGCAATAAAAAATTATGATATGAAGTATGATAGGCAAGTTAAAAGACTTTTAAAAAACTTAAGTGCTACTTTGAAATATTAATCATATAGAGATGAAACCTCGCTTTTACATAGCAGGCTATTGTACAACACTTTGTTGAATCATTTTAGCTTTACAAGGTTTCATTTTTGTGTAGGCTGGATATTCTATTGAAACAAATCAGTAGAGCGGTTGACAATTTGTCTCGAACAATTTCCTTTGAGGTTGCGTTGAGATTGATTGCCTAGACTCTTAAGTAGACTCTTGAGTACATCCAAGATTGAATTCCTGTCTATTGCAGTCTTATATCGATCTATTTCTTGTTTTCCTCCGTAAGATATATGCAAAGAGCTTTATTCATACTTAGTTTACCTGTAATTTATGGTGACGGTCCGACAACATCAGTTCATTTAATTCTACAATCAGGGATATGCTGATGTTTATAATGTACGTTGTTAAGTTCCCAACCACCGTAAAAGTTCTGAACGATTCCAGAAACTGAGTTATAGCTTCCACCGGATTGGAGGTGTTGACTTTATTCTCCTTAAATGAATTGAAAAGTAATGAACAAGCATAAAAATAGACTTTGAGGTAAATTCATAGTTATTAGAGTAGAATTCTGACCGTCTAGATATTAAATTTTGTGGCTGAAACAATTTTTTTGACACGACGGAGTCTCTTTTTTCAAGTCTCCTATGACCGAATATGAAAACGATTTTCGCAGTAATGAACGCTACTTAAATAGTGGTGAAAATAAGACACCAAAAAAATTTAGGTCTGTACGGGATTCGAACCCATGACCTCTGCGAAACCGGTACAGCGCCCTACCAACTGGGATGTCATGCGGAAGTGATGAATTAAAGACTGTAAATGCGTGAAAATCATGTATGTGAACTACGAATTAATTAATAAATATGAGAGCGATCTTCGCAGTCATGATCACTACTTAAGCAATAGTGAAAACCAGGTCTGGAAAATAAGGCTTGATAGCCCAATTGGTTGAGCGTTGCGCCAGTATCGCTGAGGTCTTGGGTTTAAATCCAGTACAGGCCTGAATTCTTCTGTTTATCACTGCGTAGATGCATTCATATTCATCATTACTCCGCAGTTCACGTATATGTTTTTCATATATTTACATTTCTACTATGACAGTTGGATGGAAAAGTGATCAAAAACTTGTTATAATCTGAATAAATCAAACACATATAAAATCATTCAGTTAAAAGTACTCTGCACCTTCATAAGGGATTATTACATTTCCAATAAGGTATTGTATTCTATCTCCAAGTTTGATGATTTGGAATTCTACGGCGGTAGTCTTGGGAAAGGAATATAGATAGGTAAAATGACGATCGCTTTAAACAAACAGAAAATGAGCCCTTCAACCTCACCTTGTATGTCTTTACTTTTTCAAGAAGATTTTGCAAATCCTCAACGGTTCCTTTTTTAAAAGGCGGCACTGAAGCAGTGAAACATACAGAAACGTATTTCAAACCTTAATAAGTCACGAATACGGAGTTGCTTAACAGTTACTTACCTCACCGGTATGTTTATTGGATCCAGAAGATTGGGAAATAGCGCGTTACGTTATAGAATGCAAAAGCAACATTTTTTGTTTAATTAGTTCAGTTTTGGATACTATACTACTTAACCAAGCAAAATTATGAAGTTAGCCCTGAGAAGAATTACAGATCAAACCAGTTTGAAAGAGGGATAACTTGTATAACGGGGCTTAGGGGAGCAGCAAAATAACCAGCTAATGATAATTTTAACCCTTGAAACTTAAGTGTGAGTCATTGCTAATTGTGCAGTAATCTACTAACCACTAATGGTCGACTCTGTGGGATGTGGAGGCTGAAGCGACGAACTGCTTGCTATACGGACTGGGGAAGTTTGGTGTGATGTTCTCGTTGAGATGTCCTGTGCATAGCTTGTGGTCGTATCTAATTCACATGACGTAAAAACCTTTGATGTTGTATGGAATGTCGCTGTCGAAATAGCACTGTTAACTGTTGTTATTTCAGATGACGAGTGTCTCGGAGATGTACTGGCAGGAATTGTTATTCGCGCACCCGAAGTTAGAGTTCTTGTTGATGAACTCTTTTGTCCCCAGGAATACGGATCATCAGGAAATGTTTGAAAATTACCTTCGCTGATACCTGAAATTAAGAGTCATCAGAATGATCCTTTTGATTTAGTGCTATTTCATATGGCTTTGAATCATTTAAAATAGCACTCAGAATTGAAGATTTGACCAGCAGCTGGTCGACGAGATGCTGCCCTGGTAATCACGCTTAATGAGGAGCAAAAAACTTATTCCATTTTTCTAGTTACCAACCTGTGAGCTGAAATAAACCAGAGACTCCTCATTGGGGCGAATTTAATTAATCAAGCATAGCATTACTCACGAGCAGGCATCGTAGACGAAGGTTGCTTAATATGATTTTCTAACGCGTGCACTGTGTAAAGCGTTGGCTTGATTTCATCCTATCGTTAACATTTATACGATATTTACTCACCCTTGATGTAAAGGAAACCATCCTCTGCTTGGCTACCTCTTAAAAAAATGGCATTAGGAGCGATAGAACCACAAGAGGATATGATTTGCACTATCCCGCCACTTCCACCACCAGCCTTACAATTATTGCCACTGCAAATCCCCTTACTGCCGTTGACATATATCCTTGCTTCATGCGAAATATGAACCTACGGATAAAACAAAATTGACCGTTACATTTCTGCGTTAACAGTTGATATTTTCCTGATTAGCTAAGTCTAGTTAAGCTTTTTTTACTGAATAGCCCCATACTGACGTATCGATTTAAATTGGCAGTTAGTGCCCCCCCCCCTCCATTTCTACTTACCGTTTCAGCTATTAGTCTGACTAGGCCACCAGAATTTCCTCCTATCTTCTCGTTGCTGGAAATGCCTGATAAAACTGGATTGGATATGGCACTCGCTTCTATGGCACCTCCTGGCGAGAAGTAAGACTTGTATTAAAAAAAAACAATTTTATGAATGAAACATGGAACTGTACATGTTGTAGTTGCCTTGTTGTAATGAGTTGAGCTATCGTGATTTGAAGACCACCGCGCCATGAAACAGTAGCGCACTTTTCCTTCAGAGAACGACTCCAAATTCTCTTTTGTTCTGATGATAGGAAATCCTACCGCAAAATTTCTGTTCGATCCCCAGCCCTAACCTCACATGCTGGCTCAGATTTTCTTTTTTCCCAAGCTAGTGACAGATATTCAGAAAACTGAAAATTTTTTCACTGATAATTTTGTTATGGTTTTGTAGCATTAAGTTTACTTGCAGCAAAACCTTTCATCAGACTAAATTAATAGCTCTTCAAATTTTCCGTCGCAAATCTCTGCTATTTTTATAAATCGTCACAATTTATCATTAAATATGTGTTTTCTCTTCTTTTATTCAGCTACTTTTGCCAGCTTCAAAGCCATTTGCGGAATGAAAATTTTATGTTTTCAACTTAAGTTGGGAAATGGAATTGAAATTGTTCAAATTTTAAAATTTTACCCTTAAAAGGGTAATCGTGCCATAAAGCATGTCTCGTCTTATGCTTGAGTGTATGCCTATTGCATGTGTAAACGCTCTCATGCTCTAATGCTCATGCTTGCATACTTTGTGTAAACTAGACTTAATGACGGAGAGTCTTGTTTGGACATTGGGAAGTTGTGGTAGACATGTTGCAATGATAGTTATAGAGGGACAATCGAAGAATGTGGACTGAGGGTCGGTCAGGATAAGGTTAAGTTGACAACTAACGCTGAAAAAATGATGAAACTTTGATTGTGGTACCTGAGGATTGTAGAGGGGGCAAATACCAGATAGTTAAAATGAAGATTAAGAAGCAGTTATTTTCTTCATATAATCAACTGAGCAGGCGTCGAATAGGCCTGAAAACGACCTCCCGTTGTATATGTAACTTGGTCCAAAATGTCGGGCCGTAAACACTGCACTTACGAAGATGTTACGGTTTTCAGGGCTGGAAAAAGAATACTATCATGATGTCAGGATAAAGATTGCTGGGCCACAATGAATATCGAGTGGCCCGGATGACGGCACCAAGAATATGACTCAGTCAAGGATTGATTTCGCCCTGATGATACAGAAAGGTTACATCTTGCGTCGTATGGGCAACGTCTGTTTATGGAGAATTCTTAAGATCAGATTGTACTTACTGATCTCTATCTTTCCTGTAGCATTCAGTTCAATTGCTGGTCCTCCAAACCCTGGCGTATTTGAACCCGTAAACGCTCCTAAAACAATAGTTAAATGAAATAATTAACAAACCAACCAATGAATGATAACGTCAGTGAAGTTACAAGATAAATGTATCGGAGCGTTAACTGGTAGTATTTGCATTAGTTGCTCTTGTTACATATTACGCAGGAGGTTTTTCGCTATAGTAAGGTAACAGCCGAGCGAAATAATAAGATTCTCCTTGAAAGGTGTGAATGATGGAGTGAATTCTTTACCACATCTTCAATATTTTTTTGAGCTTGTTCTTCGACAGGCAAATGGAGCTAGAATTTAAGCCTATGATCCTCTGGGTGAGTGTATTCCTGAGAAGGACTGTTGCCGGAGCGGAAGTCATCATCAGAGTGAAGCGAAGAGTTGTTAACAGTCGAGTGTACCATCATTTTAGCCAGATATCTATTAATATCCTGTAAGTCGTTCACTTTTTCTAACTCTACAAGTTTGAAGTGATCACGATAAATGTCAATCTTTAGGAGCACTATCAGATGTCTGAGCTTTGTTATTATGCCCAGGCTTTAACGTAACTATTCACTATACCTGTGCTTCCTCCCAAATAGTGGTCGACATTTTTAAGACCATATGGTTTGCTGTACGAGTACTTTCTCTTTCCTTCCCCGTGACCACCGTGACCACCATGACCAGCCCCTCCAGCTTCTTTCTTGTAGTACAATCCCCGTCCCGGTCCACCATAAGGATTACCTGCATAACGAGCCATTACGACACACGCAAAGTGAGCAGTGTTCAACCTAACCGGCTCCAAACCGTATAACTATTTTAATCCCTCTTCCTTCAGGAATGAAAGTTTTGGGGGGCTCTGTTCATAAAACTTACAGAATAGAAATTCCTTGACCTTTGGAAACAAGCTGATGCGGTTCCGATAGAAAGTTGTTCTGCCTCATAATCGAAATGTCGAGCTTAAAAAGTTCTTTATCAGGTTTTTTAGTACAAGTTTAGAGCATCTTTTTCATCTATGTGTAAGGAGAAAAGAAAACTTATTGTATTATTTTGTTGCACACCATTTTTTTTCTCATATTGAATGATACATCTTGAATATTACTACTTAGAAGTAAACAATAGATAACCATAGATATAGGCAATAATAGTCGTAAACAAAAAACAACAACAACAACAAACAAACAAACCAAAAAACATAAGTTACAAAAAAAAGTATTGAAAGGCTGAAATTGTCGTCGCTATAAACGAAATAGAAGAAAATATGTGAACATAGGGACATGATCAGCGCTAAGAGAAGAAAGTTCTAATGAAGCCTATCAGATTTTCATACTTCTCCAACACTGAAAGACAAATGCACATTTCTGCACGAACCATTTGCACCAATCGCAGAGACAAAACCTCCAACCAATCTTGTTTCTTTGTGAGACGAAGGCACGGTGTTTACATCAACTTTCAAAACTCCGTTCAAATCTATAGTAATATTTTCTCCGGTCAACGATAGGGCGTTCGTCCCTCTTAAGTGAACAAGATTTGTTATGACAATATTGCCGTCAAACTTGAAGCGAGCAACTTGGTAATTCCAAAGTGAATCATTAAAATGAAAATTGTGGCTTGATAAGCAGCCAAGGTGTGTGAGCATACGACTGCCGTCATCACATGAGGTCACTGTGATGGACGGCGGTCTTATTTCGTTTCCTGTATCGATCGACAAACACTCCAACACTGAGTTGTAGGTTAGGTCACCTGTCGAATGGAATAAAGGGGGTTAGTTTTTAAAGAAATCGTAGCGATATGTCGTTAGGCAGAATTACAAGATAATTTGCTTTTAGAAACTTAGTTGATGGTGTATGAATTGGCCACCGCAAACAGTTTTAAACTAAGCTGAAAAGATAAAATGCCCTGCCAGGTCTAACTTCCAGTCTAATTTTCATCGTTGGCAATTCTTGAAACCAGCTGTTAAGTGAAACCGGATCAACATTATCTATCATTTTAGGAGTTCCAGTTTCAAGACAACAAACGGTTGGCCTGGGGTTTTATGATCCCAATTGCTTCCCTTGTTCAGAATCGTTGTTTTTTTCTGTTTCTTTGTCTGTACGTTTTCTTAGCGGTCGAGAAGAGAACCTGTCTGCTCACAACATTACATGCATAAATGGCCCTGTTGTCTTCGAAGTTTCCGCTGTTTCTGCACTGTAATGCCCCCTTTGTGCGAAATTTTGAATGAGTTGCGTTTCCCTAAGCATTAGAGAAATAAAAATGTTCTTTGTTCCTAAAAATCGGTAAGTCTCATTTTCTTTGAGGTTAATATGCCGAAAAATGGAGGAAAAAATATTTGATCAACCAAGAAATTAAATAATGTCATCCCTATGTTAAGCAGTTAAAACTCAAAAAGCTTTGGAGGAACGCTTAAAACAAACACATGAAATTTATTTATTTTTACACACCGTCTTATGCTCGTTTTGTGAAGACGAAATTCGTAGTGAATTAAACAAACAAGAAAGAACTTTTAGCTCGCTGACAATACTTTGCAGCCTCTAGATGCTTTGCACGATATTATTCTACAGTGGTTTCTGGTTGGTGTAGTTTCTTTACTGAAGATGCTGGATTTGAAGAGTGTGCTGCACCAAAACTTCAAACATTCCAATCGAAACACAATTTTAATGGCACTGGCTGGCTATTATCCCCCATCTTGCCAAACAAGTCGATGTTGATGTAGTGCGAAAGTTGGTTAATTATAGGCGCGATATGGTAATAAAGAAAGTTTTGGAAGCGGCGCTCCTAATCAAAGCGACGTGCTGAGGGACAAGATAATTAAAATCATTTTTGTTTTCGAACAATGAATGTTGCGAAACTGTTGTTTATCAAACATGTAATTGAAGCTAGAGCAAACAAAAGTAAATGAACTTTCTTTTGGAGATCGACGGTAGTTGGCACCTCGATATATTTATTTTCTCCCTTAAAAATTAACAGAGCATAAGCTCAAATTCATTAGCACGTAGCCCCAGCACCAAAAATATACGATTTATTGTATAAAAACTGCAAGAACGTCAGGTTACAATTTAAAGAGTTCATTTTATTTATTACAAAACGAAGCAGCTATGAATCAACACAGATGTTTCATGATAATCGATGACATAGAGACCTTCAAGCGATTTCTGTAGGCGTTATCAGATTCCCAAGATTTTAGTGACAAGTATTCCAACAATATGATCTCCATCTAACCTCAGCAATTTGATTAAAAAATGGATGTGTGGTGATAAAATGTGTAGAAATAATGAAAATGGTGTGGCAAAGAGCTCTTACCGAAAAATATTCCAAATTTGCCCATTGCGTGTTTGTTGAGAATGTTTGTTTTGTCAGTGAATAAATTATGATGTTTTCTTCGGAAAGAAGACATAGCATTGATGCAATGACTTGTATTAGAAAGAATATCTATATTATTTTTTGTAACCTTACCATTGGAAAAAGGGCAGGCATTTGTCATACTCCCGAACAAAATCGTCTGAAAACCAGAGAAATAAAATAAGCCAATAAAAACGGCGAAATACAGTGCAAAAATGGCGATGTGGCTTAAACTTTGAAATCGAATTGAAAAAGGCACGTATGAGCAGAGATGGAAATTAAAATATTGTGCTTCTTACCTCCACAAAGACGAAAAGAAAGGCAGATGCGAAAGATGGAGTCATGTTGTCATATCAAATTTCTTAGAGGCTGATAGAAGTTTGCGGTGTAGTTTACTTAAGAGGTGGTATAGATGATATCTTCGTAGCTAGACAAGGGCGGGATGTCAGCTAGTCATTGTTTATGGGAAAGCAATTACGCCGTCATTTGGTCTCGTTTCTGTGATTAAAATGTTGAACTTGCCAAGTCATGCCACCTGCTGCACTGAAGTGAGTGGTTGTGGGAATGATGTATTAATGTTGCGTTTATTACGATTTTTGGGATTCTGACGGAATATTAACAAAACGAACTTCTCAAGGAATCTTCATATAAAATGACTCACTCGAAATGCCAATCAAGTTTTAGCTGAAAACGTTCTCGCTGGAAAATGCCATGCCATAGTTATGTTGCTTGTCCTGTCAAATACAACAATAGCTAATTTTTGTTAAAAGCGGGTATTTAGTGTTAAATTCAATCTATTTACAACTTGACATCTACTGCTCGCACATAACAACAGCGAGTCGAGGCGAGCATTAGTTTCACGCAGATCAATACAAATTTTACAGTAACAAATAACAGAAAATAAATAAATATATACGTGATAATTATGATGATCAGAGTACTAACACAAGAAATTACAACACTGAAATGGAAAAAGTAGTTTCTATAAAAGTAAGAAACAAAAAAAAACCAAACTACATTAAATGAATAAGTTACTAAGTTAAATAGCTGTAATATTATGATAGATAACTAGAACGGGGAAAAAAGGAATATATGCAAATACAAATATAATGAAGCTCAGCCGTTTCTAAGAAATTTTCGATACCAGATCAGTTGACTCGATGTCGTCGTTTGCTTCGGTCAATATTTGAAATAAGACGTTATGAAGTTTAACTTTAAGTTTCTGTTTCGATAAATTATGCAATTCATTAATTAAGCTGTTCCAAATCCGCACGCTATATCAAGAAAAAGATTTAAATGCGGGTTCAGCCTTGAATATTTAACGAAAATATTACCTCTTGTTGACGATCTTGTTTTATAGGAATGGATATTGGCTTGATAAGTAAACATGTTGGTTATGTGAAGTGGCGTTAGGTCATTAAATACATGATGCATTAGCACAGCTGATGATTTGAAGGAAAGAAAATCTAAGGGGAGTAGATTAGAAGAAACAAAGAAAAGTACAGCATGAGCATTAAATTTACAAAGAACATAAGTCGAAGGGCACGTTTTTGAAGGAGTAAAAATCTGTTTCTATGGGTCTTGTCAGCTTGACCCTCGCAACTAAACCGTACAACGGATAAGGCTGAATGAGTGATTTGTATATGTGACGTAAGGTACTGAAGGTAACAAAATGTCTTAACCTAGAAATAATACCGACTGAGATAATTATTTTAGAGGCGATATGAGGAATATGGTGTTTCCAGGAAAGACTCTCATCAACAAGCACGCCTAGGTATTTGACATAGTTCTTGCACTCTAGGGGAATAAAAGTGTCGGCGTGATGGTCAAATACCCTCAAATTTACTTGATATTTTAAATTTTTCATCTGGGTCGAAAAATAACATAGTTGGTTTTCTTGGTGTTTAAAGATAATTTGTTGGCTATCAGCCAATTATAAACATTTGAAAACTTGTCATTAACAATCGATTCAAGCGTCTTCAGATTTTGATGTGCTTTATTTAGTTGAATATTCAGGATGTCAGTTTCTATTTCAATATGAGACATTGAATGAAAAAAGAAGGAATCAGCCACACCTATCTTTCGTAAATATTCGTGAAATTTTTTGGGTGGGTTTTGGCATTTTGGATGCCAGATCGTGCCCAATGGAAGAGAAATATTTATTTGTTATGTCTGGAAATTCAGAGGAGTTGAAAGAAACTTTGTTGCTTGTCGGACATTTGAGAGAGGTCTTGTCCTTAAGGACCTCTTGTTTTCCGGTCTAAGAGCCTATTTATGCCCACCATGTTTTCTTGATAGGTCTTTTTAATAATTCTCGTTAGCATTAATATTTTGTTTCGATAGAGTTTGTAGGCAGTGGTGTCCCCAGAGTAAGATAGAGCATTCTTTATCATGATTGATCTTCTAATACTTTTTGTTATCCAGGATTTTTTTAGCTCTCTTTAGACTGCGCCTTGAAAGTGGTTTTAAAGATGCGTGCTCCTTGAGGAGTTTATTGATTTTATTGTGAAATACAGTAAATGATTTGCTGACATCCACTTTATTGCCGACAGCACTGATCAAGTCAATTTGTGACAGCTCGCCTAGAAAGGTGGGTCCTACACTGAAAGAATTGGGCAAGTCACGAACTAATTTTTTTAGGTCTCTGCGCATCAAACAGTTTACTAGAAAAGTCAAGAATGCAAAATTGCGAAAAGTGATCGATTAAATCCAAGATAATGTTATCGCTTAAAAGAATACTTTCGAGGTTGTTAGTGAATATATTATCGATTTGTGAGTAGGAATTGTTATGTTCTCTCGTGGGTTTGTCAATGGACGGGGTCATGTCAAAGCTTTGTAAAGAAAAACTGAAGTCTTGGGCGCACTTACAGGATTGGAAACGAAGGAGATTCAAGTTGAAATCCCCCATTGTAAAAATCTTGTTTCCTAGCTGCGATGAGTTTTTTAAGCAATATATCAAAATATTCCTGAAATCGTTCCGGAGAGCTATGCTATCTGTATACCACTCTGCAAATTATATTTGCATTTTTGGAAAGTGTAGTTCAACAAAAAGTGCCTGAAAAGCTTCACTATAACATTTATCAATGACTGTATATTAAACTTTTTTCGTTGATGTACCCACCAACTCCTCCAGAGGTGTTGGTACATATTCGAAATTGTTATTCGGTATTGACGGGTTGAAGTCCAAATTTTCAAGCTGTTTAGCTAGTCTAGTTTCCGTAATACCTATAACGTCGAATTGAAAATTTAATTCGTCCAGTAGATCAGTAGATGTGTTTGAAAGTTGTCCGTATTACGTCCAAGACTGCGGATATTTGTGCGGAATAAAGATAAACCTCTGTTTGGAGAAGATACGTTTTGGAGCTAATTTCTTAGCTCAGAATAGTATTTACACGTCACATTTGTAGAATGATCGCTAGGGTGGGATTTTTTATCAACAAAAGTATTCCAGCTAAAGATATTTAGGTCGTAATAGCTAGGTAACGATCGAGGTATTTTTTAGCAAGAAGGGAAGTATCTAAAATATTATTGAATTGGTCATGGGATAAATTGAATTGCAAGAATAGTAGGTTAGTTCGCGTAAAAGGATTTTGTTTATTTTACCTTGAGCGTTACTTCTTAGCTAATACGTTCTTCACCTGGTGATTTGTAGCGAGCTTCCAGATTGTCCAAGTCACTGGCACTGCGATTGGTTGAGAATGATCACTTTTCCTCATCCATACGGCCGATTTTTTGCCCAACAAAATGCAAAATAGAACCTTTCCTTGAATCTTTATGCGCGTGACATCAGGTCCTGAAGATGTGGACTGAAGTGGTCCTAAATTGCTGTACGTTCCATGTTCTCTTAAAGTTCGGCTCTGGTAGGACTGATTTTGTTCACCTCCTTTCTTAATACTATCACCCGCTCCCGGGCAAGACGTCTCGTGAATTTGCACATAATTGGCTTTGATTGACCGCCAGAGGTGTTGCGGGGCTTGACTCGATGTGCTATGTTAACCTTAGGGCTCTGAGGTTTCTGCGGCACCTTTTTTCGGTTTCGTTTCGAGGATGCCTACAAGCTTGAAATTGAAGGAAGAGCTGTATTCCAAGGCAAGATCGATTGAAGAATACAGACTTTCGATGTCTGTAGATTAGCCTTTGAGCTTGTTCTCGATGGCAGAAATCTTGATTTCGATTTGGTGATTGAACTCGCCATGCTGTCCACTTCGTACACGGGAGGTTTGCAGATTGGTACTTTCGGCACTTTCAATATGGCCGCCATCTCGTTGTTTCTTCATCGTCTCTCGCACTTTTTTTTTAACTCATTTGAAATCTCTTGAAGCAGTTGATTGTTCACAAGGAAGTATAGGAAGAAAATTATCGTGCAAACAAAGTGAGAAGTACGCTGCGATATTATGAAATATCATAATTTTCTAGCAGCAGTCAGTATCTCGCAATGAGGTATCCTTTACAAACCGGCAGCAGGTAACGTAAAAAATTATTTGATAATAAAAACATAAGAAAAATGGGACTGCTAATTGGTGAAAGACTCTCTTATGAGCCATCAGAAACGATACTGGAACTGCATGTTCGTGATGAGTTTATTTAGCCTTTGGGCAACTTCTCATATAGTCGTTAGTTAAGGTGATAAGTTTGACATACTTTACGTGTCAGTGGACCAAAAAATATTTATCCTGTTGAAGTCAGGTGGCTGCATTGTTTTAACTTTGTTAGAACTTTTTACCTTTTATTTCTAATTATATGCCTCAGTCTCGCGTCTTCCTATTCTCTAGTTAGGGTAAACGCTTAAGTAGGAAAACATCGATTCCATCTAAAGGGGTATGTGCGGCAGGAATTTGTCGACAAGCTCTGCTGCCAGCCATTAATTTTGCCTTCGCACGTAATTCCCCTACTTTTCTGCCATTATAATAATAATAATAATAGGTTAGATGAATTGTTTCAGAAAAGAAGACAGATGTTAATTTGCCTGGGTGCAAACATAACATGTTTGGTTGCCAAGCATTTGAACATTTACAACCTTAAAGCAAACTGTCGAGCCAAAGTATGGAAGCAATATTACTTAGTGACATATATGACAACTAAACAGGGCCCTGCGTAACAACAAGAAGTACCACTGAGTCAAGATTCGTAAAAAAAAAACAAACAAAAAAAATATACAAGAAAAGATTAAAATCATATAGTAAATTTGATAACAGTTAGTGCATAATTATTTAAGCCAAATGCAGCTTATGCCAGTCAGGGATTACCCAGTGCTGTTGAATATAGAACCGATAGCTGAAGATCACTACTGAACTTTCTCTCAGGCTATGCAGCGCGATTTTTATGAAAACGCTTCAGTTTTCTAATTGGTTGACTGTTGCAAGATAACAAGATACTAAAAAGCATCCTCGTAACTGTTTTGTCTTACTACAATTATACTCTCCGAGTGACCATAATTTCGTCGCTTTTAAGTTGTTCTTTTATCTCCTCCCAATGCGCCGTAAATAACTTTCATATGACGCGATTCAATACGATGGGAGCTTCGATTTCATTAGAAATTATGTGCTTGACTTATTTTCGATCAACCCCTGCGGAATTTGAAAATTCTGTTCAACGATCAGTTTATCAATTTTACAGGAAGAGGCTGTTCCTGTACTGGCAGCTTTTAATGAAACTTAATTTCTTTTTGGATTTTCGGCTAGGACCCAATTTTGTGGAAAATGAAAGCCTACTTCAAATTGCCTGGATCAACTATTTTGAGGAAGTCTTCACCAATCTGTTTTTCCCGTAGGGCTTGCCAGGTCCAAGATCTCAGATGAAAACAAAGATGTTTTTTGGTGAAATTTTCTGCTTTATTGTGATTTCAGCTCGGTGTAAAGCAACGTCCTCAAACGTCAGAGCAGTTTATGATCAGTTTGGATTGTCAGAATATATATCAGAACAAGAAATGAAGAACATGATAATAATGCTTCCGACAAACTGTATGTGAGGATGGAAGTAAAACTAAAATAATTCACAACAAGGATATCGGCTAAACGTAATATAGGCATATCTCAGTCATATAATTAAAATTCTGACACCTAATCCCTCTAAAATTATCTTAGTTTAGTTTCTTGAACGTTATCGTTAATGCTGTTAATGCGTTAATACGTCAGTGGACTGGGTTCTTATTCTGGCTCTTAGTGAATTCCCACGGCGTTATCTTCAGTAAAAACATGTTCATGGTCATCCAAACAGTACTGAATTTAGAACGTTCTTAACAAACCGGTGGAAGTGAAAGCAAGGCATATGTCCCTGACTAATTTTCAACGCGATGCTGCTTTCCCCGATGCATTTTCGGTTGCCTCTGGTGTCTGAAACACTCCCATCGGAAGGAAGTAACCGGCTACTAGTAATTTTTTGTTACATGACAAATGCTAACGTCCTACGCAGAGTTCGCTTGTGTGCAACTATTTAAACATAAAGTCCCTCTAAAATCAAAATTTTGAGATGATGTGGATACCCATTTAGCGCTGGATGGCGTTTTGCGAAATTTTTAAAAAATGCTTAAAATTTACACAGGCTAACGCCTAATAAATGAAGCGAAAAGTAGACGACCACAACTAGACGTCGAATGGTAAACATCACAACAATGCTCCCAGATGTCGGCTAGTTTAAGAATCGGAGTATTTTGAACACCTTAACTATATTTAGATGCTCCTCGAGATTGCTTCCTGGCCAGTTAATCGCTGCTACTGAGGTAGCCACGGGGATTCACTCCAATCTGACCTTGGCTGCTCCCGGTGTTTTTGTACATCAAGTAAGGGTCAAAAAAATTTTTCTTTGCTTTTTTATCATACGTTTGTTGCCTTTTTGACTTGTTCTTCGCTTCTCTTTAGTCCCGAGACTTTTGTTAGCATTATTTTTTTCTCTCCACAATTGACTCCATTTGAGCTTTTGCTGTTTGCCTTTCCTTTCCGGAATTTCTATAAGGAATATAACGATGAAATTGCTATGAGAAAAGGTCTAGAATTTATATCATAAAACAATAACCTCTAAAAACTGAGTGAAAAAAAAATTATCTCCAAAAATTACTCACTTGTTCATGTCGAATACTTGACTCCAACGAATGACGGTCTTTGATTGCTTTTATCGAACTGCGCACCTAGAATTGATAAACGATAGCTTCGTAATCTCTTTCTTGGTGAAGTATATTTGCACAAGAGAATTATAAACCTTGTGAGCTCTTGAAGACGTTTAAAAAAAAAAAAGGAAAATAGCAGAAATCTTACTTAGTCTCTATATCATTTCCAAGAACATCTCAAGAAAGAGAGGTTTGTTTACCGACACCCATCTAACAAATGTTATAAAAGGTAAAGCCCATAGTGAATGGGCTTTACTTTTTACTGAACTCCTTTGACCGAAAATTCACCGTTCAGTCGAAGGAGTTTACCACTACTGTTTTACTGACATTTTTGGGCAAATCAAATTGCTTTCTCATTGACAGAAATTATGTATTCTTCTGGTTAAGAAAGAGCCATTAGTACTCTAGTCACCCTGTAACCACGCATCTAATAAGTCACGTCTTTCGAGGTCAAGTGATACGCCACCCCTTTCATAAGTGTGTTAATGGGTGTCACTGGGTTTGGTGCAACAACACAATGATTGACATCTCACCATGTCGTAATATTCAACTTCGAATAAATCTTTTGAAAAAAAAATACATCCTTACCTCCCTGTTTCCGATGCAGTGAAATAGCAAAATGAAGAAGCCCTGTTTTTAGAACATCAAGACTTTAATTTAAAAAGTAAAAATCTGATATGTACATGTAGTTCCCACGAATTAAGGTGGTTGGATAAATAAGATATTAAACAAGTCTGATACCTATGCTATTGCTCTAGCCGGTCTTTTTTTTATCAAAAACTTTTGTTTATTTTGATGTGAGTATTGTTTAACCCATACCCCGTTTGGAGCAAATTGTCTTAATTAGTTTGTATTAACGTTTTCTTGTTAACTAACGCGCGAATGATCTATTGTTTTTTTTCGAACAATTTGCATTTTCAATTAAATAACGAAAGATTGTATTGCAAGACGTAAATGTATGAATATGAACAAAATCAATATTTTCCAGCTCGGAGTATCTGTGAAAAGTAAGAAAAAGAAAGTTCTGATGCGTTGAAAAAGGAAATAAATACAAAATAAACCACTGACCTGAAGAGAAGACAGCACTACAAAAGTGTAAAGAAACGGCCGGCTATTGGTCAAAACACCCATCAGACCAAAGAACCAGCTTAAACCAAGCAGAGGAAACAATACTACGACCGTTCTAAGGGCGGCACTAAAAATAAAGAGCAAAAAAACATTATTGAGCGAAAAATAACTTTAAACTCGATTCAGTGGCACGTATAAGATGAGAACCTTGATTTACGTTGACTATACAGGTTGTAGTATGTGGTCACACTAAAACGACTAACTGTAGATGAAATGTGGTTAACTTAATCTTAGCTACTTTTCAAGTGTAAATAGATTCGTAGCTACCCATAATCGTTGTAGGCGTAAACATATATCTGTTTATTTTACTTACGTGAATTTTTTATTTTCATGAGGTGTCAGTGGATTGCCTTTGAGGGATATTCGAACAGCCGTTATAGTAACCAAAACGATAGCATTTATCTAGAACAAGGAGGTTCGAATAAATTGATTAATATGTTTTCCAACTTTCATCAAGAATTATTTTTGACTCCGTCTGCATGAATTAACCTGTCATAATTTCCTGAATCGTTAAAAGAGAAAGAGGAATAAGTACTTATTAACAGCAATTTTGTTTATTGTATGTACTTGCCAAACGCAATTGTTAGTTAAATTTTATCAACGGACAACTCTTTTTGATCGAAAACGCGGTTTGACTGAGAGGGCAATAGAAGATGGGAAATTCGAGTAAGGATCTCCTTAGAGGGAAGTTGTTCGCAAATGTACTTTTAAATACACTCTCGGGTAACTTGAGCTGAATACGTCTTACTGCTTACCAATACTATCACCACAACAGGGGTAAGAAATGCCCAAATGAGGTTTCCTTCAAGGCTTAACCAACAGCTGAAATTGGAGAAATCGAAAGGCCATTATGAGGCAGTGCATCAGGAAAATGTATTAACAGTTAACGTTGAAATGATAATAAATGCAACTCATCCTGACATTTGTAGAAATCAACGAATTATTTATCGCATTAGTACTTTCCAATGTAAAAGGTATATCAAAATGAGAGCGAACAGTTCAAAAATTAAACAGAAAAAATAACTTCAGAAATATACGATATATGAAAAAAATGTTGGTGTCTGGAAATGTGCATTTACAACTTTACTTACAATTTTGATGTGCCGTATCCTTCATAATGTACGGTCGCTGATACTACAACTATCACAGCTGGTACTCCTAGAATAGATGAGGAAAAGGTGATCGGATTGTTTTACCCTATGTTGCCGGCTGGGTCATCTCTTCATCATCCACCTATATGTAGTTGCCCATACTTTTCTTACCGGAATTCTATTGACTAGACCAGGTTATTGTCAAACAATTCGTTACGGTGCATTACAGAAAGTTTGGTCTAGCGAAGAGAGCTTTCCTAAAGCTTCGAATTGTGAAGTGATGTGTGACTTAAGTTAAAAGTGGAGTGATACAAACACTTTGACGCTATTGGGGATCCATCATCAGAGACAGTTTGCAAAGGATAAAGACAGGAGTCAAAACCTACCCCATCCTAATGCCACATAATGTCGCATGCGAATTCTTTGAATGTTGAACACTGAAACAATTTTGATGAACATGTGGACGGCCTCTATACACATCCAGACAAATGATGCGGTAAAAAAGTAATGGAGCATAACAGCTACAGCAATGCAGACCTCCTGTGAGAGGAAAATAACAGAAACATGTCTCACCAGCTCCGGTCTATTTTCCTGATGTTTCTTAAATCTTTCTCTTCAATCAAAAGTTTTAAATTCACCTCAGAAACAGAGGCAAAGCTTTCGGCCATTTTGAGTCTCTCTCTGAGTAGACAAAAGTCCACACGTACGATGGACTTACATACTAGGCAGACTGTTTATTTTTTTGTTTGTCTTGTGTCTTGCGTTTATCTTGTCAATCTCACACGCTATTGTATATTGATTGAATGCTTTCGACCAATCTGATTTTTCATATGAAGACTAATGTTTATTTACGATATTGTTTTTACTGTAGAGTAAAATGGTAATAGTGGCAATGATCTTAAAAACGATGCTCAAAAAAAGAGCGCACTTTTCTCCCAAATTGTGCTCGATCCTGGTTGCTATTGATGGTAAAAAGAGGAAAGGGAATGGAGAGTTCCGTTTAACTTCCTACTGCAACAACTCGAGGCGTTTATCCTATTTATAAAATTATAAGGGTGACTCACCTTGATTCCTGTGGCGTCAACACCAGTGACAAATATTACTTGTGCAGCGACGAGGGCGACACAGAGATGAAGATGAATACGGTATCGCATTGCTGATAAGGTCCTGAAAGCGAAATTGCAAAGTCTCTTGGAGATAACGTTATGAATTCTTGCAGGTCAACACAACTCATACAATATGAACTATAAAAAATTCATAGAGAGAGTACAGGATATAAAAAGAACACAAACCTGACACAGGAAAAAGTAACAATAACTCCAATAAGACATAGAATGGCAAAACCACAACCAATTTTCGTGATCAGATCCAGTGCCTTCTCTTCTTTTTTTGAAAGCTGAAAAAGTATTTTTATAACGAATTAGGATGTTACTTTCACTTTTTTCCCAATCCAAAACTTAATCTGAATTAATAAGCCTATATATAAAAACAATCACACGTAAATAAGTCAGTACTTGAAATCATAATTATAGATCCTTTGAGGAAGATGCTGTGTTAGACAAACTAAGTATCTGAAATGACGGATATAAATGTAATAGCCGAATGGCCATGATTTTAACAGTTGGAAATGTAATTACTCAGACTTTCTATAATCATTATGATCTTTCAGGAAGCCATCTTTCAAGGGTGTGCCGGGCAAATTACAGAACTTCTGTAGTAATTAAGTATGTCATCTTCTACACTGCATAAGTTTTGTTTGGTTCTTTCCTACTACTCGTGTGCCACACTTTGAAGTTGTTTGTGAACATTTAAACCAGCTTCACAGGAAAATGGAACCTTCTTGTGTCCTCTTGTTAATTAGTGGAAACATTCCATTGCTGATTTTTTTCACAGATGTGTTTCATACCTGAAATTGTGACTGATCTTCGTTGTAACTGATTAGAACAGCAAAACTAGTGAGGTGATCTGTCAAACACGAAGTGAAGTTCTCTTCATATTTATCCATGAACGTCATTCCTTTATCGGACCAGAAAGGTTTGGAGCTATCAATGGAAATAAGAATGCTTCTTTCACAACTTTCTACTTTTTGTAATTTTTGAGGCTAAAAACTCAAAAATACACAGACAAAGGCATGATTTTTCGTCAAAGATTAGGAGATCACTTAAAAATAAGAATTAGTTAAACAATGCATGTAGCTTTACTTTACAGTAACATTGATTATGTTACTAACTACACTGTCGTTAAAAGTTCTGGATAGAAGCAGATATGTAACGAATTTAAGAAAATGAACGAAAATTTTAAAAAAAATGTTTCGACAGTTCCTCTGTCATCTTCAGTTCTGAATAATACAAAGCACAAAGTTGAATTTAAAGTGTATAACAAAATGCTGATTGGACAAAACAAACAATAGTAACAGAACAATGTATGCATTTACAAGGAAAGTTTTAAATTAACATGATAAAGTTCACGATTAGGTGTAAGTTTCTCCCATTGAATGTGGATAGCTTCTTTGGTTTTAGGTTGAAAAGTTGTGGAAGCGTGATCTAAGATGTTTAAACACTCATCAGAACAAAGAGTGCGACATTGTGGGGAATTATGTAGATGTCTGAAGATGTGAGAGGTCCTATCACTGACCAAGCGCTCACTTACGCGTGTGGATAAATGCCGAGAGGTTTAGCCGACATAGCAGACATTACAGCCCACACATAAAAACTTGTAAACCACACACGTAGGGAGCCCACGAGTGTTAGGATCTTTCACACCAACCATATTATCTATTTTAAAAGATGAAAAAACCAACTTAATGTTGTTACAAAAACGCTTAGCAAATTGGCGAACCCTTTTTTGCGGAGATCTATGCAATAACACCATCGTTGAAATAAATAGTCATGCGTTATCCACAGTGTAGTTCTTCTCGAGAATATATTTTAATGCGTTCTAAGTTTTTATTCAAATGTTCTCAACGTGTTGACATCGAAGTCACCCAGGATATTAATAATGCATAGATACTTACCCGTTTCTGTTGCTCAGAAACCGACACCCGACGGATGATTGATTATCCCTCTGAGAGCAACAACAGCGAAATTATATTATATTAGTAAAGTGATCATCGTTGGGTAACACCGTGGAAAAGCTCTGTGAAATTAGCCCGAATGGCAATCAAACAACTAAGAAAGTGATACGACCTATTGGCACAAACTGTTATATTATTGCAATTTTTTTTAGCACCTCTAAATCGATGAGTACAGTAGATTATGAGAACGTTCTGTATTAGTAGGGCAGATTATGATAGTTCACTGCATCACTGAAAATCCGTCTCGTAAAAGCGTAAAATAATGTATTATATTACCTTGATCCTAAATCGTAAAGTCGCGTTGTTTTGAAGAGTATGTACGTTACTTTTTTTGGTCATTGCCAACAGAGAAACTACCGGAGATTTCAAGAAAGAGGATCTGTTGAAATACAGAATTTTCATAAGTAAAAACATTGGGCCGCCTCAGCTCCTCTTCAAATCAATAATTTGCCTCGGATTCAAAAATGTTTATGCTACGCGGTGTAAGACAGCGAAACACTGTACGTTAAGTATTATGGAACAAAAATCTATTCGTTCCCTTTTCGTCTTTAACGGGTTTTCTTCGTACGTTTGTCTGCAGGATGTAGACTTGAACTTCATTGGTACACTACAATTAAAGAAATTCAGGAAATCGGGCCGCTTCAAAGTGGAGGAAATATTTATTGTCGATAGTGCACACTGTTTACTAACATCTTACCTCTTTTCTGTCGATGAGCCTAAAGCCAAACCATCTGTATCATTGCACAGTGAAGCGAACTTGAATACAACCATTACTATGGCAATCCGTCCTTCCGAATGGACACGGAAAAAACATGTGAAACAATTTACAAATCTTTTATTCTTATTGAAGCGCAGACCAAACCCTTAGTAAAAAATGCAAGTCTTCTTTTTCTAGCGAGCAAGCTTTTCCAAAATATGGCAGAAAAAGAGAAACTTTGCGATGTTTTAAATTGTAGTAAAATCCTTATAAAACAGGTAAGAATATCTCATATGAACTGTTTAGGATTGTTCCAATGACTTACCTTCCCTGACAAAAATTATTTTGTCTAGAACTATCTCAGCTAAAAAAAGTGTAACCTTACATCGAAGAAGATACTTTTTTAGGACTGCAGTTCTTAGATATGGACTACATGGCGTTTGTCATTTCAAGATTTCCTTAAGCAACTGAGCAGTCATTTGACATTACGTCATACAAGATCCCAATATTCTTTCGTTGGCAGCCTTTGCTGCAGGACGGAAACAATATTTGAAGTCATCGTGGATTTAAAAATTATACTTAATTATTATGCTTATAATCTTCGAACTTACCATTTTTTAAATCAATTGAACCTGGCGGTAAAACGAACAGACTTTGTGACTGGCCTGCTTCAGAGGTGCTAGGAACTTTTAATGTTTTGTTGACGCTTGTGGCAATAACACCGTGAAATTCTGTCGAGGAAGATAAAAATCACGTCTTGATCGCTGACAGTACATTCTTAGCTAAAAACTTCTAGGCTATTTTTGCTTTATTGAATCGTTTTCCTCTGAAAGTTCTGATTGTTTTGAGCGTGGTCCCGTTTCACTGGATTAGAATTCGCTTACATCAGAATTAGTTATAACAGGCACTTCGGGAGATCACCTGGCTCACCTAACTTTTAACCTTTTATAATTGGCCCAAGTTATTCCGAGAGGATTTAAGAAGCAAACTCCCCACGCCCCCATGAGGAATGGGGAAACTTTCCTATAAAGATGAAAGATATCAAAACGACTTGCACCTATTATCCGATTGGAAGACGAAGGTAGTTCCACATCATCAGAATTAAGGATCTCCCCAATAAAGGAATGGACTTCAGCCTCTATGTTCCGAAGTAATTCTACAATCTTGTAAAAAAAAGAAGAAAAACGTCTAACTTACCGTGGAAAAAATGAAAATTTTGTCTGTACGACTTTATCTCTGGGGCAAGGAAAATTGACATAAAAAGTTGGTTTTTTAAGATCTAAATGGAGTGAACTTTTTGAATGTCGTGCTGGTATATCGATTTTTGTCTAGATTCTGGACGGTTTTCTGGAGCCACAACATTCAAGTCGTTTTCTAGCTGTGCAATGTGATAAAATTCCCTTTTTCAGTATACTATTTGGATTGTAGCCGATTCAATGCAAAGTATAAATTTATTCCTGGATTTATTTGACTTAAGAGCATGATTTTGCATTGGTATGCCAGTTATTTTATTTGAACATAATAATTTGGTTTTGTTTTAGGTAATCTTTGAGAATTCAGAGCTGTTAATATTTCAGGGAAGTTCGAGATTTGAGGGAAAATTGAGCAATATACGGGACGATCTGCTGACGAAAAAATGGGCTCTAGCCCGCATAACACTTACCATCTCAGCTGAACAATTTCTGCTTTTATTAACGTGTTTAGTAAGGTTGTTGGCCTGGTGAAAAACAGAAATGCTTGTTGCAAGGAAATTATGAACGTTCAACCCATTTAGGGCACGCCTACCACATTTTATCTCATTCAGTTCAGAAGTGTTCGGCGGTGTTTTTGATTATTGCTACTTGACTTTGGTCTGTCGGGCTCGTTGCAAAAATGAGTGATGTATTTAGGTCAACCTCAACCGACAGCAGACGGCGATGCTCCGAAACAAAATTTTCCTACAAACTTTCTTGCGCATTAATAGACAGATAAACTTTTTCCTTACAGCAATTGGCCAGGTTAAAAATATCCAAAATACTTTTAAGAGAGGTCGGAGAGACATCGTGCTATTTTAGGTTTTTTTTGCATGTACAAGTTTTGAGCATGTAATAGTTTACTGCTTGGGTGAAAATGTGGATATTAGTGTAGTAAACAAATATAGGTGAAAATAAAACATGCGGATGGAGATAGAATAAGGCTGACTTACTAGAGTCGTCACTTTGCCGATGATGGTAGACGAGGCATTTCCTTTGTTACCTGTGGGGTCAAAATACAGCTATGATAACGATCTCTTCAAGGTTATTGTGAATCTAAGACAAGCCTATATAGTTTTGATGGAAAGTTAAGGAGCTTCTCATTTCCTCTTCAAACAAGGAAACAAACGAAAGAAGTTTAAATTAACTTGGATTGGCCGGACACGTGTTCCAAGATGTTTAGTTTTGATGCAATCGACAGTGTTGGGGAAGGTAAGGGGTTTGATCCCTTTCGGTGACTCAGTTTTTTTGTTTGTCGCATACTTGGTACAAACAGACTTAAAAATTTCTCTTTGAAATCACGTATTATCTGTGTCATGTAGACATCAATGCTCTCATGCCTTTATCAATCACATATGATATTACTGAGATATCGAATGAATTTTACGGCGAGTTTTCAGTGTTACGACTGGAACGTAAAACCATTTACTTGATCTAAGACAATTATCAAACGCGTACTTACTTGAAGAAAACGTGGTTGCAGATGAATTCTGTGTCACTGAAATTTAGACAAATATTGGGAGATAAAATGATTGTGGTCAATTTTTACACCGCACAAACGATTCGTAGCACTGACTTAGAGAAGCATAAAATGCAGTATCTTAGACAACTATACTTATGTTCTATTGGCGATTCCCCTCTCTGATTAGCCCATTAATTGATTTTCCAAATGGGCAAATTTAATTGAAATATAGGGAAGGGATGGATAAAAATAAGGTACCTTGTTTGACCCTCTTCAGTGAACGGTAATTGAGACGTTAAATTCACCTAACAAGCATGGTAAAATGTTCTTACCAGGAGGTAAGGACGTTGATGTGGTTGTCTGTGTAATTTTTTCTAAAAATTGAATCATTTTCAAACGATTAGCACAGTAGCAGAATTGCTATCGATCACTAAAATACACGGGCCGATAAAAATGAATTACGGGATCAGAATCTCATTAGTCTTCATGAAAGAAAGAGCACTTTGAATACTTTCTTCTTTTGTACAGCTTATTCACATTTTGCAATCAATTAAAATTATATATATCTATTATTTGCTTACTCAAAGATTTGGACCCCGTTGATGACTTTGACGGAGGCGTTCGAGTAACTAAACTTGTTACTTAATCTATCATAATCAAAATCTATCAAATCTTAACGTAAATCATCACACATTGGTTAGTCATTCTGGAGAAGGTACTGCTAGATGATGTTGAGACCAACTGACTGGTATAAATGGGTCAGAGGAAAATTTTTTTTGTTCATTACTCAATTTTGAGACTATTTGGAAATGTCCCGAATGAGCCTGCTCCAAAGGCATTTTATCGCACTCCTTCTTTCGGAGTCAATTTTACTTCTTCATAACAAGCCAGAAAATGAAAAGTGCTCGGTATTACGCTCATGCTGAGCCTTATAATAGACCAAATTTCTCACCAGTACTATGAAAGGTTTGAAGATGAGTGTTGTTACGCCTTTGTATGTGATATAATGTCCCTGCAGCTTGCATACTTCCAGAACCAGTACCAGGGATTTGCTGTGAGATGTTTAAGGCGAACCGTCCCCACTCACAGTGCCATGTTCGATAATTGTTGGTTTGCATTGAAGAGACATTTTGTGCTCCAAAGATTCCAAGGCAGAATGCTACAGCAATACATCATTAGATTAAATTTTTCGACAAAGCAGCAGCAAAGAGTGAATTCATAGATATATTAATGGCATGTTCAGTTTGACTTGGAAATGTTTAGCACAACCTCGATATACTCTTACTATTTCTATGTAATTTGCTTCCAGTTTCATTTTCAAGTTTACCTCTTTTCATTCCAGTAAGTGGCTCGTGGATTTAACTGACCAGTGACGCAATGATACATTTCACCACCGAGAGAAAAGCTAAAGGAAATGCTTCTTAAGCATTTCCAGTTCAATTTATAATGACTGTTATTAGCTTTATGATCGTTGTAGATGAACGAAACGTCCTGGATTAATGCGAAACACGGACTAAACAATCAGGTAAGCAAACGAATTCATTAGTTGCATGTTTAGTATCGCGTCAATGTCCGTATTCCTTGACGTCAACATATAGGGCAACATTTCTTTTCTCTATTTAATCACCAAATACCTGCTCTTGTGGCCCTGTTGTTTTCCTCTTCAAAAGAAGCTTGACAGGACATTTCGGAGAGGTCTAATGTTTTTTTTCTTTCTTGAGATCCTTTGCAGCTCATGAAGATGTATTTCGAATCACCTGTGCAATTCCAGTATATTTCGATGTGTAATTCAGAACTGTCGTTCCGATATTTGCTTGACTGACTACAAAATACTGGACAGAAAATAACAAAAAATCGATTATTAACTTCATCCTGATTTTGCACAGTGATACATTCATTTCTGCGGGAACCGAGTAAAAGATAGCGGGGTCCAAATTTTTTTAACTGCACCTTGAACAATATCTTGTCCAATTTAAATCTGATAAATTTGAAAATACCTGCGTCTTTTTAACTTCTTGTGTACCCTACTGTTTGCATCACTAGACAAAGGGAACTTTCGGCTACAGTTGTCGAATCTTACCCAGTGGAGAAAAAGTTTGAGAGAGTGGATCCCTTAGAACACAAAAACAAAAGGCCGCGGGATATTTATCATGAGTTCCCTTTTAACCATCGTCTACGCATGTTGAAACGTCTATCTACGGACAAATTTTGGGCGTGGGATTATTAGAAACATTCTAGCCTACAGAGCAGGCGTAATTTTGGCGAGCGAGTGCTTAGTATTTTCTTAACGAAAATTATGGCCACCATCCTTGATTTTAATGGCAGCGGAAGGCTGGAGAGAGAAAGAAATTTGTTCCAAGGGGGTGGTCGACGGTCAAAAATAAGGAGAAAGGTGAAGGTGGGGGAGTAAAGATTACGCCTGCTCGAATTCATTATCATTTTGCAAAACTCCGTTTGCCCACGAACTGAGTTCCTGATTGATGCGGTTAAGTTCCAGCTGTCAATCACAAGCCAAATGTGCCATTTGAGCGTCATTCTGACATTTCGCTCTTGCGGGAGAAAGAGAAAGATGGCGAACTCTGACTGTGAAGTTATTAGTTTCGATTCCGCTCTCGAGGAAGCCCTTAAGAGCCTGTTTACATGGAGGCGGGGGACCCCTGGTAGGTGAGATAACCCGCCTAGCCGTGGTCGAAAAATAAAACACGTTTACACGCAATCTTACAAACCCGGGGTGCTGAGGTGAGGTTTCTTGAGGTTGTTGTTGCGCTTGCAATTAGGAAGTTTGAGCAGAGGCGTTCCAAGCTCACATCTCGAAAAAGACGAAAGATTAACTCTCGAACACATATGTATTTATTCATGAAAGCGTCACGCGTTGTGTTACGCGGTGTTTGGTTTTGCGAGGACTCGTTGATTTAATACGTTATACGGAATAGTTTGGGAAACCAAATATGGTCGATTTACAACGCTAAATATTCCGAAATGTGAACATTTTACACTCCTTGTGTGTCCGTTGCGGTTTCTGGTGATTTCTGCCATGAGACGGCTAGGAAATGTACAAAGTTTTAAAACATACACGTTTTGCTTTTGAGCTTTTTGCTATGAACGCGACCCCGGCTAGGTGGGTTACCCCACCTTGACAAATTTACATGGCAAATTGTGACCCCGGCTGACAGGGTTACCCTACCTGGCAGACCGGGCAACCCGCCTAGGCGGGTCACCCCACCTTCCATGTAAACGTGATCAAAATAAAATAAGAAATTATATGGACAGGCGGGCTACCCCACCTAGGCGGGTTACCCCCCCTACCTGGGGTCCCCCACCTCCATGTAAACAGGCCCTAAGTTTCTTTGGGAATTTAATGTCTCACGCATTTAAAATTGGAACAGAAAGAAACAATTTCTACAATGGTTTCTAGAAAGAATTTACAGGCCGTGTTGCCAGTTAGCTTTTGGAAAAGCCCGATATTTCAGGTGTTGGTTTTTCTGAAAGAAACTATGACGGGAAACGTTCGAGCGTAGTTGTCGTTTATCCGCTTCGATGTATTGTTTATGATCAAATGGAATTAGCATCTTCTATCGAATTAACGGTAGCAGGAGCCCATCACGGGCTCCTGACGGTAGCAACACTCACGGATTGTCATTTGAAGGATATAGAGTGCGGTAAATATTAGTTCGTTTTGGTGAGGCCATTTATATCGTTGATGAAAAAAACGCCACACCGTTTCAACAGAGTATGCAGTTTGCATCAAACAAATTATGGCGGGTACACCTTCGAGTGCAGTTGTTTGTTACTTTAAAGTATCGTCTACGATCAAACGGAGAAAGAAAAAACGGAGAAGAAAAATTGTCAAATAGATTAACGGCAGCCATACTCAAGGATTTTCATTTGGAAAGACAGAGTGTAGTAAATATCAGCTCATATTTGCGACCACGGAGAAGGTTCTGCCGAAGCCATTTCTTTTCTGGCTGGAAAAAAAAACTGCCTCACTGTATCATTCATGGGCTCTAAGTGTGTTTGTTTGTGTCGGAAGGCAGTGCTTCTGGTTTTTTATTTAACTCATTTTGATTGGATATCTGCTCATTTCCGGAAATGCAGTGACGCACATATAATCAGGGGTTGTTTTGCTTGTAAACAGCTTCTTCGGGCAGAAATCTTCTCGCTCTTCCCCCGCCCCCTACCCCCATCGTCCACTCCAACCCCAAATCAAACATGGACTGTGTCAGATAAACGATCGCGAGCCTAAAACGTTAGCTCGCACTGATAAGACAGCTGGGCTGCAGGCTAAAAGCATTCGGAAACGTCGTGTAGGACAAAGCCAGTTCTATATTCTTATTGGTTTGGAATAGGTATTCGCAGGCAGATAAGGATTTTAAATTATTGAGCAAAAAAGTCTTCAATTCATGATTCAAACCTATTATTCAAAGTTCAATCGGTTCGAATGAATTTGTGGCTTCAGAATTAAAGAATAAACCGGGTATGACTTAAGAAAGAAACATAAAGTAAAGAAAGATTCACAATATTAAAAGTCAACGGCGACCTTAAATAGACTTCGTGACGTTTACAACATTTGCATCCACAAGATAAACGTTTATTTTTTTGTTTTGTTTTGTTTTGCTTTGTTTTGATAATAAATGAAGCCTTTATTACACATTAATGATCATTAACATATAACTTTCAAGTTAGTTATTAATTTAATATTTATTGTTTGGGTTTGAGGTACGTTTCTGTCAAGTAATCTATTATGATGCATGCAGTTGTTCAAAATATTTATTGAATCTAGCACGATCAAAGCTTCTTCTCTCATTGTATTTTTTTGCATTTATTTTTCAAAATGTCTTTTTCTATTACTTTCTTTCGCCTTTCCACTTTTAACCTCGTAAGATCCAAAAATATATTCGTAGCTCTTGCTTACAATGCACTTGCGCTTCTCGAGAGACGTTCTTGACTTCGGATTCATGCTACGTATGCTTACGACAGAAGGTTTTCTCGGCTTGCCTGTGTTTGCGGTGTCTGAGGGTTTAACCTCTACGAACAGCTTTTTCAGACTCAGGGTCTCTCGGATTAGTGTTCATAAAGGAAGTTTTAAGTTATAAAAAAACAAAATTATCTTAAAAGAAGACATCGGCGTCAGGTGACGGATAATGGATTGAGAGGATCTAATGCGATTTATCCATCTCCGGTGAGCTTATCGTTAAAGTAATTTGTATACTAGGTACACAAGTTATGTATACTATAATATGCAAATGACGTTTCAAAGAAATAAGCTTGAAGTTTCGTGATCATTTTAGGTTTTAATGACGTTCTTACCGTCTGTGCGTGTCAGATACTAATCGATTTTGACTAGCTGACCGAGTACGAATTTCCAATTCAATATTTTCTTCAAGGTGTAGCTTGGCTTGATCGAAGTAAGTTTAATGAGATGCTTTGTAACAAAGCTAAAGAATAGCCAAGTAACATGACTCGTATCTAAATGAGGTGATAACTTTTTCAGATGATAAATTTTTTAACATTTCCTTAGAAATTATAGGCGCAAAATTTTAGCTTGAAGTGACTGTTCAACCTGACGTATATCGTCGGTTCTCAACTGCTTTTATCTTGATATTATGAGTTTAATAAAATTGAATGAAGCAGAAACGCAAGCTTTTTCCAGCCATGCCTTACTGGAGAAAATACATATTCGATCAATTATTGATGCTAAAAGGGCGTAAAGACCTTGCAGACATTTTCAACCATCTGTGATCGTCAGTAAACTTTTCTCGTCAACACATGAAAGAAAGAGCCGTCCAAAGTGGCCGTGGAGAGTGACGCTCGTCTCTTTAGAGGGACAAGCATATGTAGTATACGGTGACATTACTATTGCATTACCTGGACTCACGACGTGCACACGAGTCCTTACTAACATCTTTATTTTCCTCCATATTTTTCCGTCGGTAGAGCTTCGGGTCAGGAGAAAGTCGGATCTGAATTAATTACTTAAAGAAATGGGTCTATGCAAATTATTTGCTACTGACTGTTTCATAGATGAACGAGAAATATTGCTAATTACTCAGCCCTTTGCTGGTGTTTGAATGGGTGTCCATCCACCATTAAAGTTTTTATCATTGTTCATGTAACGGCAGAAAAAGAAAAAGTTAACGACCATGATATTTTAATTTTCACCTCTATTAGACAACTTTTTTGACAGCTATCTGAAATTTAAACCGCATCTCTTTGACAACTTACTCTCGATAAATGTTTTGCAGAGAACATGACATTTCTGTCAAACTTTCCCCGTAAGAAGATGGTCTGAAGTTTCTGAGGAAAACGATGTTGAATAATTTTCAGCTGGTGCATAAGTCACCTCGGCGGGAATATTTTTTCGATCATTGGGCAACGGAAATTGCGGTCAAAACGCATATGTAAGAATTTCAATTTATTTCAGTTAAAACTAAGGACTCAATTCATCATTTTCTTAATTAAAATAAAAGTAAGTAGTTCTGGATATTTTTGCCTGAAGGCATACATATTTGATGAGCTCATTCTGGAGAAATGATTCGTTCATAAACAGTTTCTTTTCAAATTTTGAATTTGCGATCGTACAAACATCATGGCAATGAAGGGAAGTTATTCGACGAGATCATTAAAAAAAAGGAATTCAATGCGTTATGATACACCTCCCAAGAGAAATTACCTGTAGATATTATATCCTCTTTCTGTTGAGGTGAGCTTGAAATCTAGAGAAGAAACATTTGAATTAGTTCATGGATAAGTCGAGGTAAGCGTGCATTGAAAAGATCAAGAAACATTTACCTCAACTGTGAACACCAGCAACAGATCCAATAAAACTAGCCATCTGTTAGAATTCATTTCATCCTAAAGGCCGGAGCAATTTTGCAATTATTAAGAGAGACGCTTTTACGACCAATTTTCTTGTTCCTTTTAAATTTTCTCTACATCATTACTAAACAGAACTCCAAACCAGCCAGAAATTTAACTAATTATTCACCCGTCATGTTCTCTGGCTTTACTCGATGCTTGCAGCTGAGATACAAGTTTCTGCAAGGAAAGTACCTAAGGTTGAAGATCGCATGATCTGGGGTCTTTCAGTCGACCACCAGTCTTATGGAGTTAAACATAGCACGAAATAGTTAGCTATCTTTAAAGGAGTAAGCCAGCTGTTCACAATTTATCTCAATCTTTATTGATGTAGAAGCGTCGAGAAAAATTAAAATGCCACGTACGTCTCTGACAATTAAAATTAAAACTTTTTCTTCATATCACTTTTTCTTTTCCTATCTTAGCATGTCACATAAGAAAACAATGGAAGTGAAAATTAAAAAAAACTATAGGCAAAATAAAAATTAGCATATATGTTTAGAAGACTATTCACCTATTCAGATCCGGTACATTTCTTTTATTTCCTTTTGGAGGGGTGATTAAAAGATGGTTTCGACATTTCCCAGCCCTCTTTCTTTTCTTTTACTTAACATAATCGAGCGGTTATTCGTAAAATAGCTGGCAATATTTTCCAAACCAATCGAAACCTGGATTTTACATCTTCTATGACATCCAAGAAGAATTATGTAAGCTAAGGAAAATTACGATTCAACCTTATTGCCTTCAGCCTTCAATAAAACACGTACAGACAAAAGAAATTTTTCATCCTCTGTACAAGTATTTGCTTTTACTGTGTGTTTTACTGAACGAGGAGTAAATTACTGATGTTTTGTATAAGTTTTTAATTTCCCGATATTGTTTCAGTTTTTCCTTCCGTTGCACTTGATGTTCTAATTTTCCTTTCTCTAGTATTACTTATTTGGCTCACCCACTCGTGACCTTTTTCGGTGTCACAAAATCCAAAGCCTTGAAAGTTTTTCAATTTTCCTACACATCTTTCCTTTTCTCGTCCATCTAATGTTAGCAATGATGCAATGCAAGTTATTATCATTTTTTTCAATCTACTGTAAGTACTAAATCATTTATGTCAATATGTGATAATATTAAGCCATCTAAGATAAAATATTCTTGTGAGTTAAAAGTATATTGACCTGACTTGACGTGTTCCTACCAGCGTTATTAGTTTTGCTAGCATTGTTTTCACCCAGTTTGAAAGACGTCTGCAAATCTGGTATTTGTCATGTTTTTAAACTTAGCTTTGTAACTAAATTTAGTCTATTAGATTAGACAAGAATCACACATACGCATCATTTTTATTAAATTAAACTGAAACTTCGTTTGCAATCGATGTTGTGTCCTTTGTTTGTACTGTAGTGTTCAGCAACTTTCCTGGGTATTGCATTTCCCTCATTACCTGGAACAATTTTCCGCCATCATTTTTAACACTGGCAACACAAGTATCACCTGTATCCGAGTTCGTGTTTCAGCCCTTGTTGTGCTCATCCCGTTTTGTTTGGCTGAGAAATTGCAACCTTATAACTTCAAAACAGCCTATTTATAGAGTAACTATGCATTCAAAATAGCTAAAATTCTATCCTGTCCTTAAATTTCCCGTGTTATTGGCGGCAACTCTAGAAAATTCTTAAGATACGCATGTGTTTTCATATGATAAACTGGAATTTGTTATATGAGTCACTCAACAGGCTAATTTCATTGAATCATCTGCTCTTTGGAAATTCTGATGTTACACACGTCCAATTTGCAATACGTGGAATTTAGAAAGTTCTTCATGGTTTTTGTATGACACTGCAGTTTAGCTCCCTGAATAAAAGCCAAACGTGCAACAAAAATATGTAGCAGGTGGTGTTTTTGTTCGTCTAATTTCTTTGAAACGCTCTTTAGTTACTTTAGCAAATGATCTATTCATTCATTCTTCCTGCATTTTGGTTGCTCGTCTGATCGGCGGCACCTTTACTGAGGGTTTTCACTTGATCGATTGCGGATATTGTTTTCTTGACATAGACATCCTTCTCGAATACATTCAGCCAACAAAGCCACATTCAAATTTTATACTTTTACAGAAATCTGACCGTACAAGTTCAAAAGTAATCATAAATCTGCACTATAAACTGATTTCACAGATGTGGCATTCTCAAAAATTGTATTGCAAGAAATGGTCTATTGTAGGCATTATGAAGATGTTGCTTCTGATTCTATTGCAAGAAATGATTTGAAATCGTTGTTAAGTCTTGTTAATGCGCTTTAACCTATGAACCATCATTTAACAAACGTAAAAGGCGGTAAAAGCATTTCAAGCATATCGGAAATCAACCAAAGTTCATGAATATCATTTCCTGAAGACGCTGCTTTGCTTTGTCGACAAACACTGTTAAGAAACAGTCTTACAATAATAAAGCAGCTCTCTCAAGAAACTTAAATGCAATATTTTTTAAACAGCAAGCGATCTTTTAGAAAACGCTAATAACGCCTTCAAAAAGTATCTGTGGGAGTGTTTATATAAACTGAATAACGAGATCAAATTTTGTTAGCCAGGATTTTTCGGAGCAATCTTAAAATTTTAAGTGACACTTATAATTTTCGACTTATGGAGCGACTCACAGAATTATTCAACTTTTGATCTTTCTTTGAAGGGTTCGTTAAAGTTTTAAAGTCTTAATGGTATTTGCAGATATCGGGCGATTGAAGTATGGTACGCAGGGTCATTTCCTGACCATATGATGGTCTTCACAAGACAGTTGTTTCCCACCTTGTAATGAAAAGGTTCTCCCGAAGTGACAATAGCGATTCCACCGTTTTCTCAATTTTGTCATCCATCAGTCTTTTTGTCTTTGTGAGAACCCTTAATTAACCATTACCGTGGTTCACTGCATAGGCCGGAGGTTTTGAAAGCCTTGAAAACTTATGGTAGCTCGAAAAAGTTGGTACTAAAAGATGTTTCATATTTCAGTTCATTTTTCGATGCTTAGGAAATGTTTAAGATCAGATACGTGTTGCGTAGAAACAATAAGTGAATTAATTTAAAGGCAAGAAGACAGGTGTACATTAACCTCTAGAGCGCTTACCTGATCAAAGTACTTTTTCCTATTCTTCTGATAGATTTTGCCATCACCTATAAGGCGAAAGTCATTGATGTGTGTTTCCTTAATATTGATATAAATGCAAATGTTCCAGCGTCCGCATTGCCTGAGATCAAGCCGATTAATTCCTAGCAATAGGGAAAGTTGAAACTGAGTACATGAAGGTAAATGAATTTATGTACGTTATTAACAAGTTATCAAACGATTTCTCGTGTACTTGGAACAAAATTAGGGCTTGTAAATCCTCAGACCCCTAAATGCAAACCGCGTTCGCCCCTCGGGGTCGCGCAATTGCTTTAGTCTTTAAAAATGTGCTCAAGTTTCACTAATTTCCCACAATTCCTACTCTACTGGTATACCTATACCAGTACATTAAAAGAAAAATTCCCAAATTTGGTGGCGATCCTTCTATTTTTCCAAAGGACAAAAGTTCGTGAAAAAAATGCTGATTTAAACCGCACTTACAATCGTGCGTAGCCAATGGAGGAGATCTTGCGTTACAACGAGTATGAAACTGCATACGTCCCTGAACGTCCAACACCAGACGAAAACCATTCCACTGACACTGCCAGCTATCTACTGATTCAACTGATCGCGATTTGTTTCCACAGGGTGTACAGCTGAGTATACAGGGAACTAGAAAAATGATGAATGCTGTTGAACTATTTCTGAGAGTATTACGGCTTTTCTTTAATTAAAAACAGGTTATGTACAGGTTGCTGGATCGGCTTTTGCTAAAGTATTTTCCTCTGTAGAGCTATGTTTCCGTAGCCGGATTGATGTTTAACTGCATTAAGGAAATTGTGCTAGATACACAAATTTTTATCAGAAAGATTATATGGTTTTGGCTCTATGAAATGGGAATTTAATGTTTGATAGCCAAATTATACAGGTTTTTTTTAGAAAACATATCAAAAGTTGTCAGGACATTGAAAGGCCCTACGTATTAGAGAGAGGAACTCGTCCTAGAGAGGCACATCTATTAAGTAGGCGAATCCAACTGTGCTCCATGGATACATCCCTTTTAACAAACCATTGGGAAAATATTTTAATTTCCTACCTCCTTGATGTATTTCTTCTCTGTCGCCGTTTTCAGTTATTTGTGCATCACAGCAGGCTTGTGAAGCTTGACTTGTGCTGTTTGTTTCAATACAGGAACAGTTCAATCCTATTATTCCGAATTTACCTTGGCAAGTCCAGGAAATAATACCAAGTGATTCTGCACGAGGTAGTTCATTTTTTGTACAGTTTCCTGTGAAGTACAAGTTCGTATGGTGAGTTAGTGAGGTGTTCCTCAGTAATTTGGCCATTTACATTTTGATGATGTTTTGTGTTTCTCCAAAGATCAATTTTTGCATCTAACACGAACGATGTTGTAGAGAACTATCCAGCTTTTGCAAATAGCGGAAGATAAGCTTGCACTTTGCGAAAATTATCCATGCAGTTTAGTAAACACCGGGACTGTGCAAAGAGGCCAAAAATATATGATTTGATAATTTCTTTAGCTAAGCTGGTAAGGAGGGAACTATATGAAAACATAAAGTAAGTTCAAGATTGAATTACGTCAACCTCAAAGTATTGAACTTGGTTGCTCCCAATCCTGTGACGAGCTTATATTAATTGTCTTCTCATCAGAATACTAACTGATGGCTTCAAACTTAAAGCAAAATCTGCCACTAATAAAAAGAATCCTGAGTTCATTTCGTTTTAATGCTTTTCAAATGCGCAAGCTTGAAATTCGCGTAAACGGTGTCCTTTACACATCGCCAGATTGAAGCTTTTCGGTGTGAATACTTATGGGATATCGTGATTTTTTCGCTTGCAAATGAATTCTAACTACATTTTGCCGCTATTTCGTTGGGTTCTATGAAA